CCAATTCTGATGGTATCTCTTCAAGATTTTCTCTTATTGGTGGTTGAGAGCTTTCATAAGTGAATACCATTTTTTATCTTCATTTTGCTCTCCAAATCAAGTATCCAAGGGTGACCTTATCAGTGAACAATCCATGACTCATTTTTCGAGGGTTTTTTCATGCTTTAATCATCTCATTCATCCTCTGAAATATTTTTGGCTCACTGTAAGAGAAATCTAACTGATAAAACCCATGCGTCATAGGAATGAACTGTTATGCCCCAAACTGTCTTCTCACTAGAAATTGTGCATAACTTGTTACTCTCCATAAACCTAAAAATGAGACCATAGTATTATCTCTACATTGATATAGCATAGGTTCACGATTCATCCACGGGACTAACCATCTTACTTCGACACTGGTCAATTTTTGTAGAAAAGCTATCCATTCCCTTTTAGACTTTTGTTCTGATCACTCACTTTCATAGAATTTCTTGATCGAAGCTCAATTGAGGACATAAAGCTTTGAGAAAGCACATTTTCTCCATTCAAAGTGACTTTTCATCCATAAGTATAATAACTGTATGTAACTTATAAAATGTCCTCCATTTCGACGACAGTAACTTAAAGATCTGATAGTCTCTGCTAATATTACCGTTGAAGGGTTACAACCATTAATCACGCTTTCGAAGAAGTCAACCATCGTTATTTCAATATAACCCAAAACCTTTGGAAATATCACCATTCCGTATATAGCTAAGGTAAATACATCTAGCCCATGTTTTTCGTTGGCATATTGTACTATAAACTCATGAAAGAACTTTCAAGGTAGGCAAACCTGTTCTTGTTTCTTTTTTGTATGACAATCCATAACTTCTTTGTCTATCCCAATGAGTCGAGACAAATCCTTACAAAATCCTAACTTGTATTTTTTGACATATATCTTATCAGGAGCCTTGAAGTGCAAACCCAACAAAGTCGAATATTCTTCGATGATTGATGTCATATCAACTTCATTGAAGATGAAACACTTGTATGCAGGATCCCAAAATTATATTGCAGCTCTGATTAGTTGATTGTCGATAATTACTACGAAAAGGTGTGCTATATGCTCGTGTCTCTGGCAAAACTTCTATTGTCTAGCTGGGCTCATTTTCTTCCATATATCAACCAATTCTTCTAGTTTATTTTGTTTGAGGAGGATAGATGTTTCTTGAGACAAGGTAGAATCATAGCCAATTAGTAAACAATCTTCAATCTTTAGTTGCATCTTTTTTGACTGGATTTTTACTTCATTGGGTAATTCACAAGGAGCTAATATAGATGAGGAGCAAACTAATCGTTCTGTAGAGTCCATGAAATTTTTTTTGTTGAAGACCGTCTTTCAAGCAAATGTTCTTTATGCAACTTTATGATATGAGCATGAACCAATGCAAAAGAATGAGAGAAAAGGTTAGTATGCCTAAAAAAAGAATAAATAAATAACTAAGTAAATTAAAACATCACACAGAATAAGAGGAATGAACCCTATGCATTTGGTCAATTCTAAAAGGGAAAGATGATGGCTCTATCTATAGGTTCGGCATTCTTAAGGTTCACTATATGTGGTTTGAGGTTAAAGTCTTAAGGGTCTCAAATTGCTCCTTACATCATTATCCATCACAGACTAGTAAGGCACCATAATCCTCACTCATTATAGGCTACAAGCAAAAAATGTTCAATTTGAGTGAGAGTATTTCACTAGCCACTGCGGAGGCATTAAACCTCATGAAAGCAATAGGTACTTTACTCCCTCCTAGAAGGATGGAGCTTAGGTATAGAGCTCATGTTATGCATATGCATATGAATAACATAATTAATAAAGTAAATAAACATGAATGAATAAAAAACATCTATACAAAAGGTTCAATTTTATTAGGCTTTTAGATAACACAAATTTATTTGCTGGCCTGACTCGCAGATATCCCCAGTGGAGTCGCCAAACTATCATAACGTCTAGATCCGGGGATCCATCGCTAGACATTGATTTGAGGAGTCGTCACCAATCTTTTTTATCTAGGTGCGATTGGTCACCTAAGAAATCTATCATTTTAAGGAACACCTAAGCCTAAGGGTCTCTAAAAAATAGGTTCAGGTTACTAATCAGAACAGGGTTCGAAAGTACAGTTACGTGTGAGAAAGGTTGTAGCACCCTTACAACACCCATCGAAAGATGGTACCAACTTAATTTTGTGTTATCCAATAAGCCTTAAAAATTTATCAAGTAATTAATTATTGAAAATTATACTCAATTGACTCTAATATTTTTAACAAAAAATTAAAAAAAATTCTCTCACCTCAAGAGTATACAAGGAGACTACTGTTTCACTTACAGAGACTCTATCGTCGGATTATTTAACATTAAAAAATTTCAGAAAGGAAAAGAAATAAAATGAAAAAAAAAAAAGAATAATGATTCAGCTTTAGATATAAATCATTTTCTCTTCAAAAACTCATTGCTTGTGTACAAAAAAATTGATACTTTCAACTTTTCCTCAAAGTATTTGAGAGTTTCTATTTTAAGAAAAATTGATACTTTCAACTTTCCTTTAAAATGTTTTTTTTTTTTAAAGGAAAATTGGTACTTCCAACTTTTCCCCAAAATATTTTTTCTGAAACTTTAATTTCGAGAAAAATTGATACTTTCAACTTTTCCTCAAAAACATTTTTTTAAAATTATTTTTAAATAAAATTGATACTTTCAATTTTTTCTCAAAAATATTTTTTTAGAAAATTATTTTCAAAGAAAATTGATACTTTCAACTTTTCTCAAAAATATTTTTTAAAAAACTTATTTTCAAGAAAAATTGATACTTTTAACTTTTTCTCAAAAATATTTTGTTAGAAAACTTATTTTCAAGAAAAATTGATACTTTCAACTTTTCCTCAAAAATATTTTTTTTGAAATTTTATTTAAAAAAAATCATTTTTAAAAAAATAAAATAAAAATAAAAATAAAATAAGAAATACTAAATAATTCTAATCTAATAATAATAATAATAAATAAATAAATAACCTTTAAAACGACTCGGCTGGGAAATGGCTCAACTCAAGACAGGAATCACGGTTCGAATGACTTGGCTTGGTGGCTCGGCTCGGCTGAAAAGGTCGGCTAAGACGCAGGTCGAACCTGGATTAGAAGTGGGTTGACACTACGAGTCGGGTCGCCCAAATGGGAATGCGCGAATCCTGAAGTTTTTTTAAGGGCAAAATGACATCATTTTTCGGCACTATAATAAGATCCGACTTTTATTTCTTCCGTAAACTACCTCCATTTTTTCTTTCTCTTTCCCTCAGCTTTCTCCTCCTTCTCTCTACCTGCGAAGAACACCAGTGCAATTCTCACAGGAAACTGGGTTTTTGGCCGAAAAACTTGAATTTCGTCGAAAAATTTCATCGAATTCTGAAAAATTTCTATAATTTTTTTAGAAAAACTCTCCAAAAAAGATTCAAAACATTTCCTAAAAGTTCTAAACTGCCTCTGACACTACTTTTGCCTCTAATTTCACCTCTTTATGTTTTTTTGCCATTTGTGTGTCCTTGGGTTCTGTTTCAACACTTATTTTATAAGGATTGATTAGAAGAGTTTCTGATCAATCCTAATTCCCTCTAAGACTAGGATTCATTCTTTGGATCCAATCCAAATTCTTTTAACCCCCTAATTCACGGCAAAAAACTCCTTCTAAAACTGAAAATTATGTATATAAGATGATAATTAAAACAAAATTCAAAACAAATAAATATAAAAAATAGATAAATATAAAAAATATGCATTAATAGATAAATAATAAAAAATAATATTAATGGATAACTAATAAAAATATATATAAATAATAAATAATAATAAAAAAATAAAACTAAAAATAAAATGAGCCATTTTGTTCTATTTGGATCAAGCTCAATTGATCCGGGCCTAGATCAAATTAAGTGTCTACAATATACATATATATATTTACTTGAGTACCATTAGTATGTCAAAATAGTAGTGCATACACAAATTGAGAAGCTTACAATTTCACAAGAGGGATTTGAGTTGATAGATCAATAATTTTTGTCACATTAAGCATTTCATTTAATTGAAACAAATTAATGTGATTAGCAAATAGTACTATTTTCTTTATACATATTGACATGAAAACCTTGATTTCACTGTGTCAAAATGTGCCTGAAAAAACTTATAACCTCAATTTACTTTCCTCTATATAGTAGTACCAAATTTTGCCTTTTATAATACCAAATTGGCAAAAAAAAAAAAAGTTAGTTAGGTCATTTTAGGAGTGGTTATGAGTTATATACTTATATGTACATTAATACTACTATTTCACATATATATAATAATTTTTTGGTTAAAGCTCATTTAAATGAAAATCAAATTACAAAAACATATTAAAATCAGCATTATTTTTTATGAGAATTAATTAGCAATATTATTTAATTAACTCTTAATGCAAAAGTAGAAGTTACTTATCTTTAATTTATAGTCATTTCATTTTTTTTCTTTGGCAAAAAAAAAAGTGATGTTTTTCAAGGCAGAAGGCTGTTTGATGCTCATCACTATCCTCTTTACACCCCACAAAGTTGTCCATTTATTTCCAAACAATTCGATCGTCAAAAATAATGGTCGGCAAGTTACCATTCGTGCACAATCGATGGCTTTCGCTCATATGCATGCTGTATTCGGCACAAACAATGTCTCGGTGTGATGTTTTCACGCTATGATTTTCTTGTTGACATTGTTGGTGACAAGAAACAATGAAAGAAACCTGAAACTTGATTCAATTGATATTGGCGAAGCAGTTTGGAAGGATGCTGATGTGTTGGTCTTCAACACTTTGGAAGCAATGGTAAGCCTTCTAGATGAAGATTAATTAATTTGATTAATCCCTGTCCTTTCCTCTATCTTATTATTCAAGAAAACTTTTGTATTCAACAATTAAAAAAATAATAAAAAACATTTTTGTACTTCTTCCCCAAGTCTTTGACTTGTTGGTTTCAATTTTGTTACCTTTTTCTTTAGATAAATGCCTCAAGCCTCCCCAAAGATGTATCACACCGATTGAAAGAGGTTAAGCCACATAAAGCAATTGAGAATGGAAGGGAAACAGAGCGAGGTTGTGTTGATTGGGACATGGCCCAGCGCGTATTGCAAAAGGGTTGAATTGGCCCTTAAACTTAAGGGCATACCTTATGAATACATAGAGGAAGACCTTGAAAACAAGAGTCGGCTGCTCCTCCAATGCAATCCTGTCCACAAGAAGGTGCCTGTGCTGGTGCACAATGGTAAACCCATTGCTGAATCACTTGTTATTCTTGAATACATCGACGAGCACTGGAGCAACACAGCTTCCAAACTCTTACCAGCGGATCCCTACCTGAGAGCCAAAATTCGCTTTTGGGCCAATTATCATGACCAGAAGGTAGTGTCTACTTTTATGCTATTTCTGCTGCAAATTACTTTCATTTTGGATGTTAATGAAATTGCTTTTGCTTATCAGATCATGCCGGCTATTTTGCCCATCGTCCTGTCTGAGGGCAATGAACGTGAGAAAGCCATTGAAGACTACAATGAATTGCTCAAGGTGTTTGTCCAAGGTATCGAGAAGGACCTTCCGACCAAGGCTCCTTTTCTAAATGGCAACAGCCTCGGATTTCTCGATATTATCGTCGGGACGGTCGCATGCAACTACCAAGCTTTTCATGAAGCAGTTACTGTGATTTTGGAACCAGCAAAAAACCCCACATTTTTCTCATGGGTAACTGCCATGAAAGAACACCCTCTGGTTAAAGAGATCCTACCACCTCATGACGAGATGGTTGCAAAGATGAAAGAGAAGTATTTCCAAGCTCCTAAAGCTTAAGATTCAGATATATAAAGAAGCCCATCACTACCAACTTATTGTGCTAAGAGTTGGGAGTGAAAATAATAAAATTCATACCATAAAATGTACCCTGTTTGCATCTGAAATAAAATTCTAACGTAGTCTATTTTCCGAACTTGATGACCAAGTACTGAGAAAAAGACTGCCATGATGCCCAAAGAACAGTTTAGTTCAGAAACAGTTGATACGTGCTCAGCACAAATCATTCTGCAAGAGCTCCCTTACCATACATGCCCGGTACTACTCCGAGTTAGCAGAAAGCATTTCACCCAAGAAAAAGCCAGCAAGGTTTATTTACATATGGCCTCTATTCTGAAATGGTGAAATATATTCACATTCTAGAATGAATAAGAGTAAGGGAGCATACGTCATTGAGGCAATCACATAAGTAGTTTAATAATGATAACAAAAACCACTAATCTGCAAATACATTGAACATCCAATTCCAATAGGAAATTTCAGAGAACAGCAGACAAGTGAATGAACAATAACAAAATTTTAACACGATGTAGATTTGTCGACAAAGTGAAAGAAGTAGAAAATAGTTCATAACAGCCAAGGTAAAACATAAATCCAAATCTTGATCATCTCAAACTACGATTCAAAGATTCACTATTGTCAATCCATAGCGAAATTTAATATAAAGAAATTCTAGCTCTTGGATGTTTGCTTTTCCTTTGCCTTCTGAATCTTCAGTACCTTCTTCACAATCTTTTGCTCTTCCACCAAAAAGGCACGAATGATCCTGGAATAATACACAATCAAGAAAAGAAGTCTTAAACCACACATGTGACCAAATACAAATAAGATAGGACCTAAAAGTCGTAAGTGTTAATGCACAAACCTTTCCCTAACAGCACTTCCAGACAAAACTCCACCATAAGCACGGCTCACAGTCCTACGGTTTCTTGGCAATCTAGACCTCTTATACTCAGCAGGCCTCAAGTGAGGAATCTATGAAATATAGACCACATTTAACCTCTACTGAGAAAATAATACTCAAATTAAACAACACTTCGAATAACCACTCAATATACCCACATTATATTTCAATTGAAAAGCATCATATTTGACGAATCCAAATAAATTGTGACGCGATAATTTTCACGTAAACCCCAAGTTTGACACAAAATAACCATAATAAAAGATGCTATTAATCAAAATCAATGAAATACAATAAAATTAAATTAGCCTAAACTGATAATCACCATAGCATGATTCTAAAATGTTGTCAAGATAAAAACTTTATAGAAGCTTAGAAAAAAAATAAAATCAGAATCTCCAATAAATCACATTTTCACTCCCTAAAATCATAATCAGGAAACAGATTGTTTCTAAATTTAACATTCTATAAATTCTATCAAAATTAAAAAGAAAAAGAAACATACTCCTTGAATTCTCTTGCCAGTAACAGGACATTTGGGCCCACTAGCTCTCTTCTTTGTGGTCTGATAAACAAGCTTCCCTCCTACACCAACAAAAACAAAAAATCACCACCATGGAGATACAGCATCACTCATACACCGCCGTTCCATGGAATACAAAAGAATCAAAATCTACGTTGGCGAGAGAGAGAAGTTACCGGGGGTTTTGACGACACGGTGCTGGTTGGACTTGGTGGCGTAGCTATGACGCGTGCGGTAAGTGAGCCGCTGAACCATTTTGGAGCTGCCCTCGTTTTCGTCTCGCTTAGTCTAGGGCTTTTAAGTCGATTCACTCCCAAGGGTATTTTTAGGGTTATATGTTCTGTCGTCAAAAAGGTTTCCTTTTTCTGTTATTTCCTTTCTTTTTTTTTTTTAATCCCTGAAACTGGTTGACTTTATTGGGCTTTTTCACTCCCTTAGAAACCCAAGTAGGCCGGTCCCTTCAATTTGGTCGATTTAGACTTGGACTAAGTGGTCTAGCACAAGAGCAACTAACTTGGGCTTCTCAATTGAAATTCGATAACTCTGTTTTGTATGAGATGGGATCTCCCTTACTATATCTACAGTTTTGTATGTATATGTCCTGTAATTTTTTTTTTATTCCAGTCATCACCATGAGAAAGGGAGGAATTCTGGTTGGCAGTTTGGCCCTTATTCATATTTGTTGTCCACTTCCCACATTGAAACTACTTCTCCTGTCAAAATTGGTAAGAGTTTGATGTTTAATTGTCTGCTTCCGACCTTAAACAATTGTCATGATTTGCTACAAACACTTCTCCTTTAAGCTTCGTAGCTTGCATAGTTGAAGCACAAACAGTTTAAAGATAATCTGAAATTATGGTTAAACTTTTGCATGGATTCCTGTCTTCATGACCTTTTCTTAATGATCTCTCAGCTCCCAACACCCAATATTTCACTTTCTGAAAGTTTGATTACAACAGCTTTGAGGAGTATTTAATTTGGTAAAACTGTAATCCTTTTTTAATTACTGTTGTTTCCTTCTTGTTATGTATTATCCATTCATAGTCATTTATAGTAAGGCAGCAGTGATGTGATGAAAAAAGGTACCTGCTTTTCCTCCAAAAACTTTAGCTAGCACATGACTTTTTTTAATTGATGCCATCGTGTTAGTTACGCGATTGAGAATGAAATTCTATTCGATAATATGTTTGTTAATTGTTAATGATTTTCCACTGATTGTTGTAGTTATATTTCCTTGCTAGGTGCTTCAGTTAACAAGACCTTGCTATGGCTGTTTCCCCATCATACGACATAAATACTGCTGTTTCATTTTAAACATATGCAAAACATAAATATTATTCTGTCACAATTAGTGTTTACACTCCAAACATGAAACACATTTTTTTTATTTTTCCTAGACTTATATATGATTTTTTCTAAAATTTTAAACTGTCACTCCCATATATTTTTTGTTGTCATTTTTGTATGATGTCATCATATTGTCTTTAAACTTGCCAATACTCACCCTTGTCCTCCTCTCATTTGGTGTAGAATTTGCTTAACTAACCCAGACCAGCCAAGAATTAGTGAAAGATTGATACCCCATCGAGTTATGCGGGCATTTGATTCTGCAAAAGGTAGTGCCTTAATACTAACCGAGAATTTCTGGAAAAGCAAAAGGTGGTAACCCTGTTTCAACCATATTGTAAAATTTCAAAGTAGTACCTGTTTTGATGCTACCAAATGAAACTTCAGGTAAATATATTCAAATTAAATTTACTTCCATTATGTGATACAACATGTATGTATTAAGTGGTCATTCAAGCTTACTTTTTGAAGCTGGAGCTGTGATAAAAGATTTAAGATTTCCATATGAAACTATCATAAGTGTTTTGTATGGAAATATGGTACAATTTAAGGGTCTTAATGAGCTCTTTTTTACATTATAAGACCAAACATTTGCTAGAGCTTAAAGGATACAAAAGAATTTGACTATATTCTCCAAGAAACTTACTATTGATTCAAACACAAGCAAAAAAGAAAAGATGAAAAAAATATATATTACTGTTACTATCATTTTGGAAACCAACACCATAATCTGTACTTTTGTTTTCTTCCTGGTCAACTATCATAGGATGTCAGCTTACAATACCGAAATAGCAGATAGCAGATAGCAGATACAGTTTTACCGCCTTCTAGTTTTATCTGCACCATGTGAAGTTGTTTCTTTCTCGAGGTTATTACTCTTCGCTGTTGAAGAAACCACTTGAAATTTGTCAAGACATGTTGTGGATAGGATCCGGTCCTCTTCGAACTCTTCTTTTGCTTGATTGATTCGGATCAACTGTGTTGTTTGCAGTTGCTGCTGTTTTTTTCTCTGTACTCATTCCCTTCATGTGAACAGCCTTAAGAATACGTTGATTCCTGGTAGCTATTCCATTTTCTTCTTCACTGTGTCTGAAGACAAGGTCTATGCTTCTCAAGCCAGAAACTTTATCTGTTTGAACTGCTAATAGCCCCAAAAAGATGAGAAATATAAGCAATCTTTGAGCCCTAGAAATCATTTTTTTCCTACACTAAACTCAACTCAAAGAAACAAGCAGAATAGAGGTATCTTTCTTTTGTTTAGAGTAATGAGAGAATAAGCAGGTATGAGATATATTGTAATCTAAGTTCCATTCCTGTAGATATAAGCCTGTTATTGAATTCCAATTCTCTTATTGGGTTTCGAAAGGACTTTAAAGCATTAAGCATGGAGGGACCCAGAGGGAATTTTAGAATCCCCCAAATCATTAGTCTGCAATCTATGGAAGAATCTGACATGGATGAATAAAGGGTTTGGAATAATACCCTTAAGAAGCCAAGTATCTTTTTTCATTTGTTTTCCCCCTTCCATCGCTATCATTTCCACTGCTTTTGTCTGCGCCAACCTGGTCTCTTAGACTCTCAGCCATCTTGCCACATCATCCGACCGGTCCTATATGTACATTCAACTATGGACCCACTTATTCCACCCTAGCCAGCCTCTTGAACTTTTGGAAATTACAATTTTGACTGTGTTGGCACCTAGCCAATTTGGAAATTCAGGTTGCTTGCTGCCTAACATTTGATCACTGCTAAGTTCATTCACATCCTACCTGACACAGGTAATCTTAGGTTTAAATTTTACCTGTTACTCTTGCTAATCTCGAATGCATGATCTTTACTGAGCACGACTCGTCTCATTGAAACTAACAAAGTTGATAACTGTTCTATAAAATTGTATGAAAATTAGTGCTAATTATATTAGTGTGATAATTAAGCAAGGGTATTAAAGTATAATGACATTCCTTTGGTTTTAAGAAAAGGGGGGGTTTTGTTTTCTTTAATGGTAGTGAGTGGGCAGACAAGCCATGGACCATCAAGAACTGCTAGATTGCTACAGTTGCAAGCTAAGTCGTTTAAAAGAATCTATGTAGAAGGGAAAGTATGTATGTTGAATGGAACAGCCTCCAAAGAAAGAAACAAACACTTGCTTTATGTCCATTTCTAAATCTCATCACTTTAGAATTCCAAGCTCACTTCCCTATGCAACAAAAATAACAGTCACTTGGTTTCTTGTGCTTGCTAAATGTCTTTCTTTACGCTTTTCTTTCCTTTTTTTTTTTCTTCTTAGGGCAGCCAAATTCTTAATCCACATCCAGTGATTCAGAGAAGTCCCACTTCAAAAATCAAAACTTCTGTCTCCCTTAAATTTGTTACAATTTTCTCTTTTGGTCATGAAGGACTATCTTTCCTTTATTTCTTTTTCTTTTCTTTGTCCTTGTTGTCATTAAAATATGCAGATATCACATGCAACTTGGAACATTCTAAAGATAAATTCTTGCACTTTATCCCAAGGTGAACGGTGACTGGTCATTGTCCAAGCATTCTTAATCATATAGCGCGTTAATTTTTTTTTTTACATATAAGCTCATTAAAAATTGAATTTTAATTTTTAAAATTAAAAATTGAATTTTAATTTTTAAAATTAAAAATCAAACTCTTTACTAACATATTACATAATTATTGGTAATATGTTTATAGTTAATGCGTTGATTCTTTACTTTTCATCGTCCAATTGAAATTTAAAAAGAAAAAAAAATCAAATTAGGAGTTGCTTTTCCAAAACTAGTATGATGGACATAATCTTAGAATGCCTTGATTTTGTGGTTTCATAAATGAAGCATTACCTTTCTCATTGAAGATTAAGACGTATATCTCTTATTGTGTCATTGTAAGGTTTTTGTTGTTGGTACTTTATTTCCACTACAAGTTTATATTCTTACAACTTTTCAACTAGATAATGGCTCATATTCACTCAACTTGATACTGCCTAGATTTTTGTACGGTGTGTACTTGATTAATGTTGGATGTACTTGATTGGATACGGCGGTTCATGCTGTCAAAGGAGGTTTCCAAGACAAATTTTTGATTGAATCCTGGCCTGGCTGGCTGTGTCCACTTTGGAATATTGTAGTTGCTTCTAATTAGTACAAGAAAAAACCAAAAGGAAAAAAAAAAGGCCAAATTATGGCTTTCATAGATTCTCGAGGTTGGTCTTAAAGTTGCTACTTTTTTACTTTCATTTAAACCAAAGGGCAAAGGGCCTATTAGGTCGAGCTGCCACCCTCTGCCTAGACGGCCTCTGTGCAACGATTCCATCACAGTCAGCTTGACCAAACCATCACCTACAACGATAATGTACACTAAACTTTTTATCTCATATTTTAAGATAGATTATAAGAAAGACAAATAAAAAATCATATTAAATTATAATTTAAATTTTTTGTCATTTATTTTTATCAATAATAACTTTTTCATCTAATTCATTAATTATTATATCAATTTTTATTACTTATATCCATGTAATTTTTATTTTGATCTTTCATCGTGATTTCACTATCAATCGATCGTAACCTTCTTCCTTTATCCGAGTTTGGGACCAATAATGTGACAACACATAGGACCATGTTTTATACTGACTATCAACCTATCGCATCCCTCGTCCTTTATCTGAACCTAGACCAGCAGTGTGAAAACACTCGGGGAGTTATTCTGGCCAAGTCACCATGAAAAAAAAAAAAAAAAGACAACTAAAGAAGTGTAACAAAAGTGAAAAAAGGTAATGTGACTGCCATTTTGATTCTTTTTTGTTTTTGTTTTTTTTTTTTTACACCTAAAACTTTGTTGGTCTGTTTGGATTCTAATTTGATACCAGATCATTTCCCAAGCCATGCAACTTGTTTACGTCATCACGTAAGACTCCAAAACCACCATGGTAAAAAAATGTTACCACAGGAGAGTTCAACCGAAACAGCAATGACCGAAACATCAGTTCACTATGGCATTGGAACTCAAGATGAGAATTCCGCATTCACAAGAACTGGATAGCTCAGGTTAAGCACTGCTAAGCTCATATATACATATACACAATGACAGGTACAAGATAAGGAAATGACTGAAGAGCTACCCAAATTTTTCAACAATTCATTAAAACAGATATTAGTACAGCTCCAAACCTTTCTCAACTATCTATTTGGGGATTAAAAATAAAAAGCTTTTCAAGTTTATTGATAGGGGTACCATCCTCATTTGTTCGCTAACTTCCAATATAATGTCAGTGCAGGATTTCTTGTCTCCTACAAGTCAAACACTTTCCTGGTGGGAAGTCACCGCAGGTCCTGATGCAATGGTAAAACGCATGCCCCTCCGCTGCCCAGATTGTATCACAAAAGCAACCTGTGTTGCAGCCAGCGCTGCTGCTTCCTGATACAAATAATGGTGCAAAATTCGATATCAACTTAAAAACAAAACCATGTCTATGATGTATGGTTTCAAGGTCTGAAGAAAAGCCAGAAAAGGGATAGATAAAAAATTAAAGAAATATTTGCTCAAATTGCTGTCTTTCCTGGGTTCCTCTGGAAAAGAAGCAAACATGGGATTTCAAATTGAAGAAGTAATGAGATAATAACCTGTCTTTGCCTTCGGCGCTGCAATATACTGATGGCCCAAGCCATGATGTAGCATGGCAAGAGAAATCCAGCAGCTCGAAGCAAGAAAAGCTGCAAGAAAACAAGCTGTTTAAGGAAAATGGCTCCATGGTTTGATTAATGTAAAGCTAAATGCTTAAGAAGTGCATAGGTAAATACGAGAATGTAGCTTTAGATAAAACTTACAGAGAAAAAAGTAGATGCATCATCGTCTGCATCAGCATCTGGAACACTCAATGCATGCCGCAATAGCAGAAGCGCCATTAACTGTCAGCCAATCATTTTAAGATCAACTCTTAATTACATGGATCATGTAAGAAAATGAATTTTTAAAGTTTAAAAGAAAAAAAAAAGGAAAATGAAGGAACCAAAAATAAACTTATTGACATGAAAATTTTCAACTGAGATGATAATGGCCCATGCAAAATCTGGGACAGCAAAGTTGGGAGCTGAAGGCCCTAATAGGATGGTACAAGTTGGTCTCTCCACTGTTCATGCATAAGATGCTAGCTATACGGAACAAACGAAGGAACCAAAAGAAAGTTGTTGACATGAAAAATCAACTGAGATGACCACTGCCATTGTGGCCCAAGTGGAATTGCACTGGGAGCTAAAAACCCAAAAATCATGTAAAACTGTAAAAGTAGGTTTCTCTACTGTTTATTCAATAGGAAAAATGATAGCAAAACTGTGCACTAAGAACATAAAGATCTTGAGTTAAAAGCTCAGACACCTTAGCAAACTCTTTTCTCCAAATCAATTTAACACAATGTTCCCGTGACACATAGCAAATATATTAATAAATAGAATTCATAATGGTCCTAATATATTAATAAATAGAACTGACAATGGTCCAACTTTAAGGAATTAATGTCAAATTCACTTAAATAAGGATGTTCAGCATGATTAGAAATTCAATATTTTCAGTAGATTCGTAACTAAAAGCTTACAATTAGAGCAGCTGAACGGCAAAATGCAGCTCCACTGGCATTTGATGCAGCATATTCATCATACTCAGCTTCCAAAAATTGGCGCTCTGCCTCTGCAATGGCCAAGAGGCGAGGATCACGCAAATCTAGAGAGGCACCAGAGATTGTCCAGCCTCTACTATAAGACAGAGACACAAATCATTACAACGGAATCTTCCAAACGAGACAGATACAATAATCTTTCTAGCAAATTTAGATCAAGTTTCTAATGGATATCATAATTTATAAATCACACAGCATACACTCGATTTCATCAAACAAAAAGTCCACCAACCACCAACCATTGCATAAAATTTGTTAGATGTGAGACCATCAAACTTACCCAATATCAATAGCAGTTTCCTCAGTTCGTGGGTGAGGTGGAGCAGTATAACCAGATTGATAAGGCTGCATAGCAAATAAACAAGACAGACTACATCAGCAAGGAACCACAACAACAATATCAATAGTCACTAAACATGAATTAAGAATTTAATAATAGGCTTAAGCAGAGATAATAATGCCTAAATGTATCTGACCTAAAGATGCTCATATTGAACCACTCTTGTGATGAATTCTAAGAAGTAAAAAAAATATTTAAATGCAGTCTACACGATAAGCCAGGGTTAAAAACAAGGGCTTTTCCCATCAATCAGAAGGCTAATTAATATTCTTCCTAAAAGAAGTTGATTCACCATCTTATACAATCATGTGCGACTAATTACTTTGAAATCCACAGACTTCCCATTATTTTCTGACACAAAAGGCCTAAAAGTGTTAGCTCAAAATCTGGTAAAGACTTAAAAGGACATCGAGTTGCAAGTAGGCCATGCATGTTTCTCACAAAATAAGGATTTAAGTAAAGTACCTGATGACATATCTCACAAATTATATCTCCTTTCTCTTTGCACCAATGCTGCACGCACTTCCTATGCGCATACTGCGATTCAAAACATATAGAATTCAACAAATGCATATCATAAAACTCATTTCAGACAGCATTAAAGATACCAAAGCAAGCAATGCTAATTGCTAGGTTCATTAAACTAAAAGCCGAGGCTTTATATTTCTAAAAAAGAACAAAACTTGTTGATCAATTTATCATGAAAAACAAAAATAAACGAAATTTTTTTAAAAAATAAAATAAAATGAAATTACCTTGAGGCTGCCACTGCAGGCACAAGGAGTCTCAAGATTCTTGATGGAATCTTCCTCCTGGCAGATGCGGCACTCGACCGCCTGAATCAGCGGCTCCTCCTCGTCCTCCTCGTCTCCTCGGACCACCTCCTTCACCTTATCCTCCGCCGAGCACGAAGGCCCCGAAATCTCCGTTGACGGACCACTCTCCGACTCCACCGGCTGTACGGGCACCGGCCTCACCAGACGGTCCACATACAACACCAGGTGATCACTCATAATTTCTGAGTAAGAGCAGCGGATCGGAGGCTTCCGAACAAATTAGAGAAAGAGAAAAAAAAAATGAAGGAATTTAATAGCAGAGAAAAAAATGAAAAAAAAATCTTTAAAATATTTACCTTTAGCGGAAAAAATGGGAGAATTTGTGTTCGTTTTTCCTTTCTAAATTTCCGATGATTGGAGTTTTTGTAGATTTTTTTTTATCTAAGATTTTGGCTATTTATAGTAATTATTATTATTTATTATATTTAAAGAAAGTTCACTTCAGCTAGCATGGGATTGAACGACTGTGGATTGATGGTGAGAGACATGCTGACATCAATCGAGACGGCTCCCAGGGTACTTTTGGAATTTAGGGAGACATAAATATATTAGATTATATTAAACACCTAATTTTTTAGTTAATAATTTATATATTTATATTATATTTGTTTTATGTTAAATACATATGAAATTTAAAAATTGTTATGTTAAATTTATCTTAATATGTTAAATATGAAATATATTTTTTAATTTTTTTTAAATTTATATATAATTTTTATTAAAATGATAAATTATTTATTTTTTAATATATATAATATTATATTTAAAATTATCATATCTAAATTATTTTCTTAATTCTATTTTGCTTCCTATTTTATTATTTATAAAACGTCAAAGCATTGAATTTATTACTTTTTTCTTTTTTTTTTCTAACAACATAGATTTATTTATTATTATTAATTGTAATACTAATTAATACATTAGGGTTTGGTAATTATAAAATAGGGCCATTTGACCCGATTAAAACCTTCTTATAGAGAATAAAAAAAAAAAGATGACATTTTATATTCTCATTTACCACACCAAAAAATTGTATAATTTGTTGTTGTTTGTATATAAAGTGTTAAATTTTTAATTTTAATAATTGTAATTTTAAATTTTGACAAACATTAAGACAGGTTTATTTAATCTTATTATAAAATTGATTGAATTGAATTAGATTGGATTCTTTTTTTTTTTTTGTTATCATTTGTTATTAAAAAGTAATTTTAAAAAATGGGTTTGGTGAAAGTGAAATAGCTGTCTTTTTTTTCTTCCAAAAATGATAAATTTTTGCATGAAAATGATAAATTTTTGCATTAATAAATGCATCTTCACTTGTACTAAAATAAAAGCATGTTCAATTCTTCATGCAAATGGATGTAACAAAGGCATAAATAGTTTAGGTTTAGTACTCATCCATGTGAGTGGACAATTAATAAATATTAATGTGTTAGTTAAATGTAGATTTAATAATAACAGAAAAAACTTAACTGAAGTTGTTTAAATGAAATTTGTGAATTTTTTAAAAAATTGATTTAATAAAAATTTTAATAAAAAATCTAAATAGATAAATTGATAAAATTCAATGTAAAAATCAATAATATATATAAAAAAATTATTAAAAATGTTATTGATAATTTAAATTTGATCAATTCTTATTCAATGATAAAAATTTTGTCAATATTTTTATTAAAAATGTTTATCTAAAAAATATATCAATTTTTTTTTCAAAATTTGCATACTTAATCAATGTAATGAGACCTTTCAATTTATTGATTTTGATTTTTAATTTTTAATTTTATTTAATCATTTTTAATTAAAAATTTTACAAATTTCACCTAAAAATTTAATTTAAATCTTTTTTAAGTAATAACACTAAGGGGATGGTATCATCCATAGAGATGATGGTTGACTATACGATGTATTTACCTCATATTAAATGAGAATGAATAAAAAAACTTATAATAAAATGTTAAATTTTTTATTTTAATAATTTTAAGCAAAAAAATTATACCTTACAAAAATAATTTGCATTTGTCAACTTATACATGCCAAGATTCATGTGATTTGTTGATATTAAGGTTACAATTCTGATAGCTTTAAATATTGAAAAAGATATAATGTAATGGTAATCCTAGAAAAATTATTAAATTTAACCTAAGACATTAGTAGAATTTCCTGTTTAACATTGAATTCCCATTAGTAGAATTTCAGTTCAGAGAATGAATAAAACTACCGACAAACTTCCAATTTAATATTTTCATCATAAGGAGGAAAGCCACAGTGCCCTAAAAGTCATTGAACAAACAAGGTCTTTTTGCTTTTGAGGACACTTTACTAGAAAAGCAGGAAACATATACCTTTCATCATCCAAAGCAATTTCAAGGCCATAATGAAGTAAGGCCACAGAAATGTTGCTCCTCCATCATTAGATCAGAAAGCAAAGCCTGTCCTTTGGCTTTTGAAAAACCAATCCAGCAGATGGAGACAAGCAAAGAAATGGAAGGCCTTTAAAAAACAAAATCTCATTGTTCTATATATTATATGTATATATATATATTAGAAGACAAGGCTGGTTTTTCCTGTGGTTGGGTGAAAGGTATGAATTCAAGATAAGAGGGTCAAGCTGATAGCAGAGCCAAGCAAACTGATAAAGTTAAAACTGAATGCTTACAGTCTACAGCTGACAAGCTTGTTTGCCTTCAGCTACTCTCAGCATGCAGTTTTCCCAGTATTCTACAATTTATTGAAACATAGAGGCCAGTTTTCTTCTATGGTAAGGAATGATATAAACATTATTGTATAGAGCGTTTGTCAGCTCATATTATGATTTCTTCACTTTATGATTAGTGCCTGCCTTGGGTTCTGCTCTGCGCCATAATCTTGTGGTATCATTTCCATGCTTCTCCATTGCTAATTTTTTATTTCTCTATTGGCTTTCTTTTCTTCGGTGATGCAACATCGTTATTTTCATATTATAGTTTTTGTGACATGTTGGGTCCATCTGATAGTTTATATCCAGTCAAATCATGATTAAAAGATGAATATATATACATATGGGCCCATCTTAATAGATACTAATTAATTAAAAGGACAATAGTCTAATAAATTATTAGCAGATGCTAAAATGGTTTCCTTTGTTTGATTTGAACACTCCATTAACATTTAATATTACCATATATTTGGGTTAGAGCTGCTCAAACACTTTGGCATGCAAATGAAGTTCCTCAGCATATGAAAGGAGAGCGCATGTTGATGACTTAGGACCGCAATCCGCTATTCTGGGGATCACTTTCCATCAGTATATTGAGAACATTGAATGAACTTCATGAGAGAACCAGGTTTGACATTTCCACTTACCTGGTGGACATCAAGGTGAAAACCATGCATTTTGTGTATCTTTGCTTCTTTACCATAGGTGAATCAGTTGTGATAGAATTTGTGCAGGATCATTTCTAAAATGATGGTAACTTAGTTGGAGTTCGTACATATTAATTGGCAGAGCTGTTCATCTTTAAAAGGAAACAAAAAATAATAAAAGACCGCAGCCGGTCCTTGTGTTCCTTTGTAAACATTATATTTGTTAATGAATCTTTCGTACATAAATAATGAAAATGGAATTGGTTATGAGATCAAAAAGTTTTATACCTGTTAGGAGACAAGCATAATGAACAATCCTGTTTATTGAACTTTTATGTTTAAAAAAATCCACCTTCCTCCATGTTGGAGTACCAAAAATTGCTTTCTCTTCCTTTTTTTCGTCTTAAAAATTTACCAATCAGATAAAGCACATAATCTTTAAGTGTTATGCAAATTTTTTCTTATTTTATCAATAGTTGATAGAAATGTTAAGTTGTGCTAATAATTAGCTGTTTCTTGTACTAATAAACATTCGTTTCATCAGGTGGAACATCTAATGAAAGTTACCATTAAAAAATAATCTTTTCACATTTAAGTGGATATGCATGAAAGTTGAATAAAATAAGAAATATCTTATCAGCTAATTTTCTTTTGAAAGCTGAATTATATTTATCATCCTAAGTCAGGGATCTGCTGATAATTGCACTAAATATTTATTATTACTGTAAGTCAGGGATCACTTATATTATATATATTTTTTTGCAAATTAAGTATAAAATATTAAATATTTGTTTTGATATTTTTATTTTATTTTATTTTATATGTTAAAATGCTTAAGATTTATGTTATATTCAAAACAAATATTTTATTTTATTTTGTTATTTTGACATTACATAACAATAAATATATAAATTTTGAATTGTTTATAAATATAAAATCTTATCTTATAAATAACAAAATTTTATATTATATATAAATTAATTAATATATAAATAGTATCACATGTGCATCGCACCGGTTAAAAACTTTAAAAGATAGAAGTAATTTCTCTTAGGTAAAAAGTGATATTTTGGAGTTCTGGATAGAGCTGCAGAAAGAACAACACCAAAAAAAAAAAAAAGGATACAAGGGGAGAGCTATCGTATCCGTCTTGAGCTGTATCTGTTACAGTTGAGTTCCTGATATTAGAATGTGACAATTTGGACAAGCTATTGCTGCTTCCAAACATGTGGCTTGCTGGGTTGAAAATTGGAGGAAGTCAAACCTTTGTTCTACTGACTTCCCTCGTAGTGTTGCCAACAACGTGGTTGAAGAGTTTGGGTATCCTTGCCTATGTTTCTCCTGTTAGGGTTTTGGCTTTTTTTATTCTTGTTGTTTGCATTTTTGGGTTGGAGCAATGGTATCCTTGCGTTGGTGGGGTTTTGGTTTCTTTTATTCTTGTTGTTTGCATTTTTTAGGTTGAAGCAGTAGATAGAGTGGGGTTCCATGAAAGTGATATGTAAAGATCTTATTTAGTCATGGATTTAAATTAACTGGGTCCAGATTGGCTCCAACCTTAGTTGTTGGATTTTTATTTTATTATTTTTATTTTTAATATAAGAGGATATGAGATTTGGGAAGATTTGATTCTGTCTATTTAATTGTTATATTATATATGAATTGTTTTTTTTTTTGTGCAACTTAAGTATAAAATATGAAATATTTGTTTTGATATTTTAATTTTTATTTCATTTTATATGTTAAAATGCTTAAGGTTTATATTATATTCAAAACAAATATTTTATTTTATTTTATTTTTTACATTTTATAACTATAAATATATAAATTTTGAGTTGTTCACAAAAATAAAATCTTATCTCATAAATAAAAAAAAAAAAAAACTATCATATACAAACTTATTGATATATATAAATATACTCTTATGCATAATACGTGCATAGTACATGTATTATTCGTGCGTTGCATGTGCATCACACGGATTTAAAAGTTGTAAAAGATAGAAGTTTTTTAAAGTAAAAGTGATATTTTGGAATTCTGCATAAAGCTGAAAATTTCGCTCATAAGTGATCTTTTAGTACAAAAACTAATAACTAATTTTTTTTATCTTGTTGCAGATTTTACTTGTCTGCTTCATCACAAGCACCATCAACTATGGATCAATGGCTGTTCTAGGCTACCTGATGTATGGAGAACATTTGAAGTCTCAAGTGACATTAAATCTTCCAATCAAAAAGATTAGCTTAAAAATAGCAATTTATACTACTCTAATTAATCCCCACAAAATATGCTATCATGACTGCTCCAATTGCTACTGCTATTGAAGAAAAATCACTCTTCCGCAACAGAAGGTCTCTGAGCATTCACGTTAGAACAGTAATTATGATCAGCACAGTAGTTGTTGCCTTAACCATAGCATTTTTTGGCTACGTGATAGCACTTATAGGATCATTTTTGAGTGTTAAGCGTCTATGTTACTGCCATTCCTGTGCTATCTCAGGATTCACAAAACTGCTCGAAAATTTGGGTTAGAGTTTGGTAATAATTATAGTGATTTTGGTGGCTGGTTCATTTATATGTGTGCTGGGAAGCTTTACCTCTGTGAAACAAATTGTGAACCATCTATGAATTATTGAAAAAGAGGGTAGTACAAGCTTTTTATTAGATGAATTATTGAAAAGGAAGGTAGTTCAAGCTTTTTATTAGTAGGATGAGAATTTTCAAAAAGAACCAAAAAGGAAAAACTGGAAGGAAGACAAAACCTGTTAAATCTTATGTAATAAATTTAATTACTACAATTTTATGGTGCATTTTCGTTATAATTTATAAATACATTACCAACAGTAGTGTGATTCGTTGATAAAAAGTAATGGAGCAGTTTAGATATGATGTGAAGTTGGCGTACTCAGGATTCTGTTGATTTCACCTCTCGTAACCACAGTTTTGTTTCAAAACTTGGCAGTGATCTTGGACATTTGGAGTTCCAAAAGTCGATACATTGCCATCATGTGGGAAACGTTGCATAGATAAAATTGTCAGCAACTCAGCATATCTGGCTCGGGATCCTTGTTCACAACCCTTGATTTTTGCCTATAAAAATAGTTTACTAACCATGTTTCATACTCAAAGTCTTCAACTTTTAATTAGGAGAGAGAAAAAAGAAAACAGGCTGAGAGTAGGAGAAAAAAAATGAAGTCCAAGTGTTTAGTCTTGATCAATCTTTTGGTTTTACAGTATCTGGCAGTTCTTTGTGTTTCATAGGATTTTTATTTTTTCTACTTTGTTTAACAAGTGGTTTGATTGTTAATAAGGGGTTATTTTTTTGTCTGGATGCCCTTGATTTTTTTTGTTTATTTCTCATTTGAGTTACTGTTTGCATACAGTGGCCAGGATCATACTGTGACTCAGACAAGAATAGTTGTTGCTAACCTACGACAGGGCAGCCTGCAGCTGATTTTAGCATTCATGGACTTTGGCCTAATTACAAGGATGGATCATGCCCTCAAGATTGTGATTCTAACAGTCCTTTCAATGAATCTTAGGTACTTGAACATCCTTGCAATCTTGATCTTATAATTCTTCCAAGATTGAGAATTGTATGATGTTGGTGGTTCTATATCTAAAGTCATCTCATTTGTTCTATGCACTTTTTTTTAAAGCATTTGAGATTATGAGAATTTGAATCTAAACAATGTAACTAAAAATTTAGCACTTTTTACATATTCAAAACTGTTTGACATTGCAGATTTCAGACCTCATCAGTAGCATGAGTAATTGGCCATCACTGGCTTGTCCTAGCAGCAATGGAGAAAGCTTTTGGTCTCATGAATGCGAGAAACACGATACCTGCTCCGAGTCTGTCCTTGATCAACACAGCTACTTGGAAACATCTCTCAGCTTAAGGCAACAAACCAAACTCCTTCGAAGTCTTAAAAGTGCAGGTAATCCATAAGTTCAACACCTCTCAATTACATTGCCAAGTACACAAATGTGGATGTAGCAGGAATCAATCCAGATGGAAGATCTTATAGCCTGGCGAACATCAAAGATGCTATAAAAGAAGGAACTGGGTACACGCCATGGATAGAGTGCAACGAAGACTCATCAGGCAACAGCCAGCTTTACCAGGTGTATTTGTGCGTGGACAGTTCGGGGTCAAACCTAATAGAATGCCCTGTGTTTCCCAATGGGAAATGTGGGTCAGAGATTGAATTTCCTACCTTTTAGATTTTGATGAGACATACTCAAACTTTAGGGCCTTTGATTACATTGAGCACTCAGATTAATCTTATCTGCTTGTGCTCGTAATGTGGTCTCAGTTTGATTCCCCACATATTTATCCAGCCCTTCTGTACTGTTTCTCCTTGTCAACCCTTAATATTAAAGTTGCCATAAACTAAATGTCTGAATCACAAAAGTTGTACAAATTAAAGCTCTTTGTCAGCCAGCTTTACAAGATCGAATTTCAATCTTGCGAGAACCCATATTTTAAAAAAAGTATATGAATCACTTGGATTAAATCTCATTTTTATCAAAATTTTTTTCTTTACTTTAATGCAATTTCTAATATAATTCTGCATATTTTTTTCTTCTATATCACACCTTATTTTCACGTCAAAACTCGAATTCATCAAAAACAAACGCTTATGAAAGAATGAGGGATCAGGGGCCATGACCATCAGCATTATAAATCTTCTCTCTTCTTCAATTCCAAAATCCAACTGATCATTAAGTAAACAAAATATTGATAGAAAAAAAATGGAAAGGGCCAGAATTTGTTATTTGTAATGCTAATTATCATGCAATCAAGAGGAATATGGATCGAGTTTGATATGAGAAATAAAAAAATAAAAAAAAAGAGTGAAAACATGATTGTCCTTTATATCAATGACCAAAATGCAAGCAAGAGATCAACTTTTTAGATCATGATAATAGTTCTAGAGGTGGCATGTTATGGAGGTTGCTTCCTTGCACTTATTTAATTAATTAATTATTGGAAATTATATTTTTTTTCTTTAAGCCAAATGTTCCATTGCTTCATGAACTTCCACAAGCAAAATTAAAGAGAGAAAACATGTGCCACAAGGTAAAGGAAATTGGAACGGAAACGGAAACTGACCTAATTTTCTATTGTTTTTTTGTTTTTTTATATACTTTAAACCAATTAGTGAATGGATGATTATTATATAAACTATACCATCGTGAAGTACATTTAAGGGAATGATATTCCAAAGAAAAGCCTTCACTTAAACAATATAACATATGATTAATAAATTAATCTTCATTACTTTGGTCATTAATTAGTTTGAATTGTTTTTCGATATTATCATGTGTTGAATTTTGATCGATATAATTGAGAGTTTAGTATTTTACTACTAACAAATTATGTAATTATTAATAAATGATTAAAAATTAAACCTAACCAATAAAATTAAAAGGATTTTTTAGTGTTAACTTATCTAATATCAAGAGAGCAACAATTGAAAAATAAAATAACAGAATTAACATAATAAAACCAATTTATTTTATCTTTTTAATTTTTCATTCAAAATAAATAAATAAGTTCCCTGCATCAAACATTTGAAAAACAAATCAAATGGATGTGGCTTCTTGGCCTTGATAGGTTATGTGTTATCAAACTGCTGACTTGCACGCAAGAGGAGCTGCCAATCTTAATTATTATCAATTATAAAGCCAATAAATTAAGCATCAAATAAATAATAGCATACGGGTCTGTCATGTGGATATTGATGCTATATTTATATGCCCTATTTATTAAGAAAGGGCCTGTCTCTCATGTGGGTTCCTGACTAGATGAGGAAAACAAATCAACTTAACGTGGGAAAAAATAATAGAACAAAGACTTTGAGAAGAGACAAGATCATGCAAAAAACAATAATGAAGAAGACGTTAAAACACGCAAAACAATGCATTAAACTAACTACAATGAGAAGCATATGCCGTCTTGGATATTCTGTCCTAAACCTACCCTTTTGCCTATAAATTCATCTACCATATTGAAGCACTTCATATCTTCATATTTCTTAACCCCAAAGCTAATTTTATCAAAGTTGTTATCACTTTGTGAGAGATAAAAATCATCAAGAACATCCGAAATCATGAAGCTCAACTCATTTTCAATCATTGTCATCAAGCTTTTGATGCTACAATACCTATCAGCTCTTTGTCTTTCACAGGATTTTGATTTCTTCTACTTTGTTCAGCAGGTAAGTGAGGTTAATTTTGTTTAGCATATATGATCAGATATCATTCTGTTGATCATATTTTGGATTTTGGGTCATTATTTGATCATACAGTGGCCTGGAGCATATTGCGATACAAAACATAGTTGCTGCTACCCAAAGACCGGAAAGCCTATAGCAGATTTTGGCATCCATGGACTTTGGCCTAATTACAAGGACGGTGGCTACCCTTCCGATTGTGATCCCGACAGTCGTTTCGACAAATCTGAGGTGCTATATTTTCTTGCATGCGTTACTATAACTTGATCCGAAAAGATATGATTAAAATGGTTTATTAGGTTGAAGAAAGTGGTCATACAGGTTAATTTCGATCGTTTAGAGATAAGCCAGTGGTTTTAAAGTTTGGTCGAGTACTTATATGTGGGTACTCGAAAATTAAATACAGGAAATATAATAAATTGACAAGACAACCCCATAAACAAGATGGAGCTGTATGCGAATGCAAAACGTTACCCTTTTTTTGCCTTATCAATTTTTAATTTACATATGAAATAAATAATATTGATTATTATTAATTTAATTTATCACTTTATTTTAGAGAATAAAATTTTTTTAATGAAAATTAAATCATCTTTCAAAATAATAATCTAATTGAATAATTCAAAATCACCATCACAAAATTATTTAGTGCTATATAATGATATAATCATCATGTATAAATCATCATAATTTCTTGAATGATTATTCTATATCAAACATCACCTTAAAAGTGGTTTTAGAAATAAACTGCTTCAAAAATTGAGAAAAAAGAAAAGAGCAATGTATCTCCTAAGCCATTGAATTAGAGCTGAGCAAATGATCAGTTCGGTTAATTTAATTTTAAAAATCGAATAATCGACTTAATCAATTTAATTTATTATAAAAATCGAATTGATCGGTATATATAAAGAAAATCAAAGAATTGAACCGAATAAAGGTGATCAATTTGATTATTTTTTTGGGTTAGTCGGTTTTATTTTTATTTTCTACATTAAATATACTTATATTATTGAGTATACTTATATCATATATATATATATATATAATTATTTATTTTGTGTCAAGTCGAATATTTTGGTTCATTCTATTTAAGTATTTTAAAACCAAAAATTGAATGTTTTAACCATTCAAATCGAAATAATAATCAAAATATTTATATAACTCAAATTATACAACTCAATTTCCTTTAAAAATTCTCTTTTTTTTTCGATTTTTTAAAATTTTAACCAAATTTTACTTATCCTTACAACGAATTGAAAATATAATAAGTAAATCTTCAGATCCTGAGATGATGATGAGATCAGATTAGAGTAATGTTTCAAGATTGGAAAATACTATTTGGCAAGTATACAATTGAAACTACACATAATTTATTCGGCTAGCTAATAAGAAAAGCTTTTATTTCCTCTGTAATCCATAATTTACACGCAAAGCAACAGCAATAGATACACAGTTTGTCACCTTCCAAGTTGTTGGGACCATCCAATCTGTCATGCTTCGAATTGGTAAAATGTCTTTCGTAGCTTAAAAGAACACTATTTGCTGTCTAACTACCAATTATTGAATCTGGGATTAACAATGTCTCCCCATCCTGTATAAAAGATTTCAGACCTGATTGGCCGTCTGGAAAAGGAATGGCCGACTCTTTCCTGTCCTAGCAACGATGGAACTAAGTTCTGGACACATGAATGGGTAAAACATGGGACATGCTCAGAATCTGAACTTGGCCAACGTGAGTACTTTGAAGCAGCTCTCAAATTGAAAGAAAAGGCTAACCTGCTCCGAGCACTGACAAATGCAGGTACCCCCAAGTTCATTTTTTCTTTAACAGGCTTAATTAATATCAGCTCAGACTAGAGATTTGGAAATAATTGAGTCTCCTTGGGTATAAAACTTGTGTTGCAGGGATCAAACCAAACGATGAATGCTATGAATTGCAGGATATTAAAGATGCTATAAAAGAAGCTGTTGGTTTCACTCCTGGCATAGAGTGCAATGTTGATTCATCTCATAACAGCCAGCTTTATCAGGTTTACTTGTGTGTGGAAACTTCGGGGACGGATTTCGTTGAATGCCCATTGCTACAAAGGTTTAAATGTGGTTCAAGCATCCAGTTTCCCAAGTTTTAGTTGAAAAACTCCATTTTCTTGATTAATTTATCCAGCAATTGTTTCATCCTTTAACTATGACTTTCATTGTTAAAAAGTAAAGGACTCGGGTATGGATAGGCTAGTTTCCCTTTGTCCTTCACCTTGTTTTCTCCTTTGTATTTTATATAATAAATTAATTTCACCGATAATCGAAATTGATAAATTAATAAAATTTAATAAATAGATTGATGCATATAAAAGATATTAATTAAAACTAATATATATACTCAAATTTTAATTAATTTTTTTATATAAATATTCATCAAATCGTATCATGATTTTTCTATTAAATATTTATTTAAATAAAATTTTAATAATTTATTTAAAATTTCATATCCTTTTAATATCATAATTTGATCTTAGCATTCAATTTTCTTTTTTTTTTTTTACAATCATTTTTAATAATCACTTTTTAACTAAAAACTTATTTTTAAAAAATCACCTAATTTACACCCTTTGGAAAATATTAATTTCGCTTTACCAGAGCTTCAGTTTAATTAACGGTGATCTGTACGGATTGTGTTCTCAACCGTAAAGCAATGGCTAATTTTTTTAATCTGAAAATTGGTCGTATGATAAAGTCCAAACAATTTAAATGTGCGTGGCGCATTGGCCTTCTCCATGTCTCATCAAATTGTCGGTGCCAGCTTGCACCGACAGGGCTACCAACCCTCCCTTAATCGGTACTGCTTTATCCCACGTCAACTTTAATAATGATAATTTAAAGTATGATATAATAGTTATAAAAATACATAAAAAGAGTATAAAAATAAAAATAAAATTATTTAAATTTTTAAAAAATTATATATTAAATTAATAAAAATATTTTTATAATTTTATATTAATATAAATTATAATATATAATTTTTATATAAAATAAAATATAAATATATAAATTATTAATATTTTTCGTTATATAAATATAATATGTTATCAATGGATATACGTTTTTCAAATGTCACGACAAGCATTTCATAAAGAGTAAGTAGAGTATTTTAATCTCACATCGAATAATAAAAAAAAATCATTGAAATTTAAAAAATATTAACACTGCACACTAAGTCAATTTTGAAGGAATAAGGTAATAGTCATGTGACAAATTAGTATAGAGCAGATCTTGAATTTTCGATCCACGTCAAGTATTTTGATGAGAAGTAAGCAAGGTGACCAACTTTCGTGACAAAAATATTACGAGATTGGATGAAAAAAATATCACTTCAAGCGCTCCAATAAGAGTAAACAAGGCTTCCAATCCGCTATCTAACGTGAAAAGAGATGGGATAACTGGGGTTTAAAAAATATTGACACTACACACTCTAATAAGCTAATTTCGAAATTGAATGAGAAAAAATATCACGTCAAACGCTTCAAAAAAAGTAAGTAAAATACTTCAATCTTATATCGAACATGAAAAAAAAAGATAACTGAAATTTAAAAAATATTAACACAAATCCTTGATATATTGATTTTGAGTAAAATAATGATCACGTGACACAAGCACGTAGTCCCATGTTTTTAAAAAATTAAGCCATGTATTTGCATGTTAAAAGAGCTTACAAATTCTTGAGATCGATCCAATCCCATCTTGCATGCATCTCGATTTCCAAGTTAGAAATCAAGGGGTGTTGCGACATTGATTAGCAGTGATAACGAATCAAATCAAATTTTATTTAATATTTTTAATAATATATAATATTATAAATTTTTAAGATTTAATTTAAATTTGAATCGATTTTTTATTTAAATCAACTTGATTTGAATTAAATTTTAATAATTTAATTTTTTAATTTTTAATTTTTAAATTTTATATATTATTTTAACATAATCTAATACATCAATGATTTTATTCTAAAAATACAATGAACAAAAATTGAATTCGGGTTGCACTAAGTTTCAATTAATTAAAGTAAAGAGGTGATATTGTGAATCTCATGGCATTGGCAATAATGATGGGACAATTAAATGATTTCCACTAAAACATAACTTAATTACATCTTACAAGTAGAACATAATTAATATTGAGACTAACAAAATCGATAACCATAAACAAAGAAATAAAATATATCATTTTGCCTACAAAATTAAATGTATATGTACTTTTGATTAATATGTGGTTAATTACACTTAAAAAAAAGTGTCAAATTCAAAATTAATCCTCCTTCCAATATAGTACAATATTAAGTTTAGATATTCTCATAAAAATTAGTAAAAATATCAATTGATAAAATATAAAATGGATAAAATATTTTTATTTTTATTTTTTTAATTATATTTATCATCGTATCCATATTTAATAGGTGTTTTAAATTTATTTATATTTTCAATTTTTTGAGCATTTAATGAGTGTAATCCGTAACTTTGTTTTTTAAAAAATTTTTAAAAAAATAAAAAATATTTTTAACTTCTTATTTTATATATTTATGTAATTTTTTTAAACATGTATTTTTAAATATAAATATATTAATTCTAATAAATCGAAAATAAAATGTCTTTTATTAAATAAAAATTAAGCTATTAAATATAAATAATTATATAAAATATAAATACGGATATGAAACGAATGTTAATTATTTAATTTTGTATTCGTATTCAATGAAAAATTAATATTTATTTTTATTTTTATTAAAATAAAAAATAAAAATTTTCACCAAATTTAGATATGACTGACTTACCCAAAAAGAAGTGAATAAAAAAATATTTATCCACAATCTAGCATAAGTATTGAAGCAAACTTTTTGTACCAAAAATTTAGAGGTTTGGTACGGTCCAACATACAAGAGTTAAACTATTCCTTTCACATTAATTAAGCTATGTTCTTACGTTATTGAATTTCCTTAATCTTTGTCTACATTTCACGCTACTTTCATTTCTATTATGCTTCTTTGACCCATTCAAAAGCCTAAGGGACCACTCTGCTCTTTTTAACTCCCAATCGCTTTTTTTTTTTTTTTCTTTTACAAGCATTTTTTTTTGTTTTGTTAAAATAGAAAATTTAATTTAGGATTATCTTTTAAAAAAAATTACAAAAGTTTATTAGAAGAAGTTAACAATTAATTGAAATATTTTTATTGTTAATTATTGATTTTTTTAACCAAATCAAAATACATTTTCAATTATATATAAAATCACTTCAATTCAAATAAATTATAAATTTAATCTATTATATTTAATTTGTATACAACGGATTAACATTATTAATTTAAAAAATTTGTAATTACTTTAAAAAATATTGGATTATATTCGACATGAAGTATTATTTATTTTAAAAATTCAAAGATTATTTTCGTTTTTTTTTTTTTGAAAAAAGTCACTTCAATAGAAAGGTAGTGATTTTTACTCATAAAATTAAAATTTAATTATTGGTTATTAAAAGTGAGATTGTTTTCCTCCACAACTGCCTTAATAAAATAATATATTCTCTCCTTTCTTTTTTTTTTTCATTTTTTAAAAATATTTTAAAATTATATACATTTTAAACGCTTAAAATTTTTACTTTTTATATTTTAAATTTTTTTATTTTTTGACATTAAAAATTATTAAAATTTAATTTTATAAAAAATTTAAATTTAAAATTAAATTTTTGAAAAAAAATTCATAAAAGTTAATAACCTCGAAAAAATTTAGAATGAGGTATTTAATTTTATCGCAAATAAAAACAAAGATGCTCACAATATTAAAAGAAAAAAATTTACCTCTTCCAACGGCGGCTGGCCACGTCACAGAATTTCCGACAATTTACCACGTGGATATATTTCATTAGGCTTTCTAGTCAAAGAGAGTAGCGACGACCCGGAAAGTAAGGAAAATATTTAAAAAAAAGAAAAATAAATATTACTAGCAGTAGGTTTTATACCAATGATTTAATTCAGGGGAAATTAAAAAAGGCGGACAAGTCGGTCAGCAACAAAAATCTCTGTTGTCTTTACTGGGAAGGACCGGAAAACGGTTCTATTTCCCACCGTTGAGCTCAAACGACTTGAAAGTTCAAACAACAAAGGTCAAAACGGCAGAGATCCTAACGCTCTCTCCTGTAATCTTCAATTTCTCTCTACGATTTTTCTTCGCCGGTAAGTTTTGGTCTCCGACTTTACTTGAACAGTTTTTCGTCTTATTTGCTTAACTAAGTTCTGTTTGATTTTTTTTTTATTTTAAATTTACAATTCTTTTTTTAGTTTTTTTTTTCTCAATTTTCGCTTTTTCTTTTCGTGTTTTGGTTGTTAAGCTTGGATTTACTGCAATGCGTTTGGATCTGTCTCGAAACTTCTTTTTCTGCTTTTTTCTTTTTTCTTTTTTAGTTTAGTTTGGTTTTAACTAAAAGCTGATGCAAGATTTGGATCTTTATTTTTTTCTCTTTTTTTTTTTTTTGGGAAATTTTGGAGTTTGAAACTTATATCAATTAAAGTGGTAATGATGCTTAGTAGTAAGTTCCAGTATGGGAAAGATCATGCCGTTGAATCGGAAATTTAGTTGACGATGAATTCGGAATTTATTTCTATTTAATTTTTCTTTCTTTTCCTACATTTTCTCTCCAACCAATCATAGCTGTAATGACTGTTAATTTTGAGCTGTTTTTTTTTTTTTTCCTGTCTAAGGGAATTCTATAGTTAGATCTGGAAATGTCATTTTTATGTAATATAAAGAAAAGATTTTTATGAATTTTGATGCAAAATGAGAGCAAAATTAAATTTATAATTTCAATTAAAAGCATAAGATAGATAGTATATTGATTCTCCAGTCCAGACATCAAAATTTTGCATCTTGTTACAATATTGTAACAAAAAAAAACTATTATTGTGTAAACTAGGGTTTTGATTAATAGGTTTCTTATTCTATGAAGGATCATCTGTTTGTTTTTGTGTTGTGGTCCCTACCACCACATTGGTCATCCAAATCGTTTTTTTTTTTTCCTTAAGCTTTAATTTCTTTCTGTTTGCTACAGGTGTCTTCTATTTTCATTTAGTCATATTACAGAATTTTATATGGCTAAAGCTTCGTGTTTGTTTCAGTCAACAAGAATATAATATGACAATTGAAAGAGTAAATTTAACAACTCTCTCCAAAATGAGCAATTGGGGTGGCACAGCTTGATGCATTTGACTTGTGCATCTGGGTCATCTACAGCAACTGTTGCGAATTGATTATTGTGTGTTTTGCTGAAACCTTTTTTTAGTGTTTTGTAAATTTTAGGGGTGATACTGATATTTTTTGGATGTATGACACTTATCTTAGGTTGAAGTTGGTGTAGCTAATTATTTTGTAGTAAAAGTTAGTATAGCTAACCAAAGTTGAATAGTTAGTGATAAACAGCAAAAGTTGATGTCCTGTTCTCTGGTTTCATTTGCTTTATTTTCTTGGAATTGTGTACTTGTTTTATTGGACTGTTTCTCTGTTTGTTAGCATTATGGATATATTACTTATTTTCGGTTGCAAATTTTGGTACATTTTCTAATGGACTAATTGGTTTCAAATTCTGTCACACCATGACAGTCTTATGTCAGATGCATGACAAAGAATTTTTCAGGAAATTGCTACATGTTTATCGAACTCTTGAGTTTTTGTACATCATGCTAGAAGGTCATGCTTGCAAATTTTGGTAGTTGGCTCAGCTGGACAACAGATTGAGAATGAAAGCTGAAACACTCCATCTGAAGAGGTGAAATGATCCTTCAACATTTAATCTTAAGCTGTTGACTGTCTGTTCAAAGTTCACCCTTGTTTTAACTCTTCACTAGCTACTTGACTTATTGCTTACAGATTATAATTTTATAAACCATTTAAATATTGATTACCATTTGCTGGCAGGCTGGTTTCTTTAAATTTGATCATTATTAGAATAAGTTGCAACACTTTTTGATGCAATTGTGTAATCAGCAGAATGAAGAAATGGTATGGTGGTGCTCTAGTTGCATCCTTGTTTATGTTGCTGGTTCTGAGATATGGTGTCATGAAAAATCCTGTTGACGAAAGCTACTTTACAAATTCCGTCTCCACCAATGGAACCAATCCACTTGAATGGGTGCATTTTACAGGTCCACCTGCAGTTCAAAATCCAGAAAATGCTTCTCAAGTAATTTCCATTGATACCATAGCTTTCAGTCTCTTTGCTCAAAGGAACCTCTCCAAGGGAGAGCAACAATCTTTGCTGACCTGGAATTTGTTGAAGAACTTAATTAACCATTCTCAAGCTTTGCCAAACGGAGTAGAGGCTATCAAGGAAGCTGGAAGTGCATGGAATAGCCTGATGGCTTTGATTGAAGATGAAAAACTTGGTTATGCCAATGGTAATTCATCTAGGAAAGCAAAAGAGAAGCAGTGTCCCCATTTTCTTAATAAAATGAATGCTACAGAACCTGACAAGGGTCAATATAAGTTGGGAGTTCCTTGTGGCCTCACTCAAGGTTCTTCCATTACAATCATTGGCATTCCAAATGGTCTTCTTGGTGATTTTCGCATTGACTTAACAGGGGAAGCACTTCCAGGGGAGCCTGATCCACCCATAATTTTGCATTACAATGTTAGGCTCCATGGGGATAAGATAACTGAGGACCCTGTAATAGTCCAAAACACCTGGACTATAGCTCATGATTGGGGTGAAGAGGAGCGTTGTCCGACCCCGACTCCTGACAAGAATAAAAAAGGTAGAAAGACTTGTGGCATCTTTTTGGGGTTTTTCTTTTTGGCCAAAGAAAAGAGTTGTTTTTGGTATGTATAGTGCAAAAAGAATTAGAATATTTCTTCTTGTTTTATGTTAAATTAAGGTCCATATACCACTTATACATTTTACAGTCCTTAGGTTAAGATACACATTCTCTTCATATTTAAGTACTCTTTTTTTACTGTATTCAATACCAAACATGCAATTTACTCATCTCTTTTGAATAGCACATTAATAGATACTGGAAAATCTGTCAGCTTAGAAGCTTTTTCAACCTATTGGTGACATCATTAGACTTTGTCTGGCCAAGTGAATTCAATTAACAGCTAGTTGCCTTAGCTTCAGTTACAAAAATTCTTTATTTTCATTATGTGCAGTGGAGTACAATATTTCAAGCCCATCTAAATTTCTAATTGCTTCCTCTTCTTCTTCTTCTTTTTTAAATTGTTTGCATTCATGGGCATGTGTAACTGCATAGTTTTTTTCCAGTGGATGAGTTGGACTGGTGCAATAAGTTGGTGGGTAAAGATGATAACAGGACAGTTAGCTTGCTTTCCCATGGTTCGAGGAGGTCTTCAATGGGGCTGCAAGGGGTTAAATTGAGAAGATATTTTCCTTTTAAGCAAGGTTCTCTTTTCGTTGCAACTCTTAGAGTTGGATCAGAGGGAATACAGATGACAGTTGATGGAAAGCACATAACATCCTTTGCTTATCGAGAAGTAACTTTTGTCATCCTACTTTTACTTCTATAATTTGTTAAATAATTAATAGTTTCAAAGAACTTAATGGCTTATTGGCTGCTTTTATGTTCAGACATTGGAGCCATGGCTTGTTAGTGAGGTTAGAATTTCTGGAGACGTGAAATTAGTTTCTGTCCTGGCTAGTGGTTTACCCACATCAGAGGATTCAGACCATACAGTTGATGTAGAGGCACTTAAATCAGTTCCTCTCTCTCGTCAAAGACCATTGGATCTCTTTATTGGTGTTTTCTCTACCGCCAATAATTTTAAACGAAGAATGGCTGTGAGAAGAACATGGATGCAGTATCCTGAAGTTCGGTCAGGGACAGTTGCAGTGCGCTTTTTTGTTGGATTGGTATGGTTTCCATGTGAATTTCTCACATAAAATTGCTAAATTTTGATGCTTAGCGGTTGTAGTTCTATCATAGAGAAGGGAAACCCATTTTCATCAAGCATTACATGGTCGAGATGTTCTAGCCACAAATGCTATGGTTCATAAATATGGTTCTTGATTCATGCTTTCAAGGCATTGTTGCACCACTACGTCGCATATGATTTTTGGCCAGCAGTCTTACATGCTGTTAGAGGTCTTATCACTGGGACAATGTTCATTAGGTTTCTCTGTTTTTAGACCATTTTTGTACCAATAGGTAACTTATTATGCTTTACCGTAGTAGGTTACTTCAGCACTAGCTGCATTTTTTGTTTTTTTGTACTCACATCAGACACATAAACACTGTAATGTACTCATATAAGACACCTAAACACTGTAATATACTCGTTGTTCAGCTGCAATGGGCACCAATCTTATCTTTTTATACGTTAATAGTTAGACAGCTGAAAGTTTTGGTGTTAAACTCTGTAGTTGTATCTCTTGAAACTATTGTCTAAGTTTATGGTTTTAAGTTCTATAGTAATCCAAACCTCATACATAATTACTTACCAGGTTTGAGATGTTCTGCAGCATAAAAACCAAATAGTAAATGAGGAACTCTGGAATGAAGCTCGGACATATGGAGATATACAGCTGATGCCTTTTGTTGATTACTACAGCCTGATCACCTGGAAAACTTTGGCTATTTGTACCTTTGGGGTAAAGTCTTGTTCCTTTCTTTGAATAAGGAAAATCCTTCGTTTCCTTATCGAACTCATCTCTTCAACAGACAGAAGTTGTTTCTGCAAAGTTTGTCATGAAGACAGATGACGATGCATTTGTTCGTGTGGATGAAATAATGGCATCGTTAAGCAGGATAAATGTGACTCATGGATTGCTTTATGGACTGATTAACTCGGATTCCCGACCTCATCGTAGTACAGATAGCAAGTGGTTTATTAGCCCCGAGGTAATTCCTCACTTAATTTCCTCAAATGGTTTCAACCATACTGACTTGGCACAGTGTCAGTGGATAGTGAATCATAAGCTCTAAGTTTTTGCTTGTTATGAGCAACGATTGTATTAGGTTTGCTCAATCAAAATCCATTTTGTTTTCCTTCTATCATGTTCATAAAAGCGACATTTATCGTGATCACAGAAAGAAAGAAAAAGAGCGGCTATTTTGCACAATAGTCTTTTCATAGCTCACTTTCTCTGCAACGCTGTTAGATGGCCCTCTAACTCAAGCTAAATTAACTCAAAGCTTTAGTCTGTTCATAATGTTACTGTAGGCGGCTCTGGCATTTCCTTCCATAGTTACAGACAAATCAGCATTATTTAACCATAAATGGTTAAAAATTGTCTTCCGCTTCTTAATTATCTTCTCGTGATGTTGTGTTGAATGAAGGAATGGTCCGAAGAGAAATACCCTCCCTGGGCACATGGTCCTGGTTATGTGGTGTCCCACGACATAGCGAAGGCTGTTTACAAGAGGTTCAATGAGGGGCGCTTAAAGGTACGATGAAAATTTAATCTTTTCCTTTTCCCAAGTTCTGTTCTGCAATATGCGACATATGTTCACTGTAAAATTTATGCAAGCATGGGCATTTATTGGAATAGGATTTCTTCATTCCTTCCTTGTGTGTATAATTTTCAGTGTTAAACAAATGTCATGTATAACAGATGTTTAAGCTAGAAGATGTTGCAATGGGCATTTGGATAGCAGATATGAAGAAAGAAGGTTTAGAAGTTGGGTATGAGAAGGAAGAGAGGATCTTTAATGAGGGTTGCAAGGATGGATATGTCATTGCCCACTATCAAGGTCCAAGAGAGATGATGTGTTTGTGGCAGAAACTCCTGGACACAAAAAGGGCTAGATGCTGTGGTGATCCATAATCACTGGAGGAATACAATGGTTGTTTGTAGATGCTTTAACATTCAATATCTACACTTGCCTTTCATCACCACGGCACGTTCCACTGCTAACTTTAACTTGATGAGAAATAGATGGAAGGAACAAAAAAAAATCAGTCCTTGCTGATTTGATTGATCTGGGTCGAGAAAATGCAGACTACAGTGACCGATATTTTAAGTCTATTTTTTAACTGTAGGTGGGTAGGGTTAGTGATTGTTGTTGTATAATTAGCTTTTTTTTTTTTGTAAAATGAAAGTCTAAGTAAAAATGGTAGATTGATACCATTGTATAGAGAAGTCATAGTTGTAGGAAATTGCAGGATTTACCCATGTCTGATCTGATGTACACTCTACTCCTTTCTATGTATTTTATTGTATTTGTTTCAAGATAATAACACACAATTATTGTCCAAAAGCTTTCCTTCTCGTCGAAGGAAATGTATCAAAGATACGGTGGAGAAGAAGACAAGTGGCACTAAAAGCATTAAGATCCACTCCCTCCTAAAAAAAATCTCCTCTCAACTGATAGTGACTTCCTTTTTTTTTCTTATTTTTGGGAAAAGTCTTCGATTCAAATTGATCAACATGTCTTGTAAGCAACATATTGATAAACTTGTCAACGTTCCAGCTCATTCTACAACCCTCACCAATCTCAATTCTGTGGGACCCGCGACTCCTCTTCGAGCAATTTACTTGTTATATCTCCCAAGCCTATCGCTGCTTTACATTCATTGACTCCTTGTAGGACTTAAAAAGTTTTGACCTTTCTTCAAGTTATTTTCTTTCTCCAAAGTTTCTCTTTTTGTCCTAAAATTCGCAAGTTTCCATGGCTTCTGAAACTGAAGCTCCTGAAATTTCTTCTTTGTTTGAAAGGTTGTTGAGGCAAAGAGACCATTCTTTCTTTCTACCTTTTATCTTGGGATTCTCCAACGACAACAGTTATCGTAGCAATATCTCAAGAGAAAACCCTGAAGACCCAGATCAAGAAACATCCCAGGAAGCAACTTCCCAACGTGAAAGAATAATCCTTATCAACCCATTTACGCAAGGCATGGTGGTGATTGAAGGAGCTTCAAATTTGGAAGCTTTGCTGCGTGGCTGGGCTAACAAAGATGGCCAGCCACCTGCTTCAAAGGCATCCATAGAAGCCATGTCAAGTGTGGAAATTGGTCAAATTGAAGATGGAGAGTGTGTTGTTTGCTTGGAAGAGTGGAGGCCTGGTGAGGTGGCAAAGGAGATGCCTTGCAAGCACAAGTTTCATGATGAGTGTATAGAGAAGTGGCTTGGAATTCGTGGGTCATGCCCTGTTTGCAGGTATAAGATGCCTGTTGATGAAGAAGAGATGGGCAAGAAGAGAGATGAGGAGAGAAGTTTTGAGAGGGAGATTTGGGTTAGTTTTTCTTTTAATAGTGATAGGAGAAGTGGGGATTCCAATCAAGTTCCTTCAACTGATTCAGATAATGTCTCTTCTTTAAGTGCAAGGCCTGGTGATCATGAAATGGAAGGATAGAAGAATTGTGTCAGAATTTTTTTTAGTTGCCTCCATTTCAATTTTCTTTTGTTTTTCTTTTTTCATCTTTGTGGGGAAATCATGTACATAGAAACACGTCTTTTCCTAAGATATGTTGATCAGTATAAATAAATTTATATTTTTGTTAGTACAATTCCTTGTAATGTGATTCAAGGTGATTGTGCGGAAAAGAAGCACCAAAAATAGCATGATAATTAATTTTATTTAGTTATGTATGAATTTTTTGTCAGCATACAAATGTAGACTTCTCAAGGGTTTTGTTGGGTACTGAATGAAGAAGAAATATCTCCCCTTTCTCTCAGAATTTTGATCCCCTGATATCTTCCTAGCATTAAGAGAGTCGCCATTGGATTTGTGCCTGGTGATTCCAGGAAAGTTGAGAAATCCACAACTCTCAATCTCTTGACTCCATAAACCTTATAATCATTGTCCACAACCGATCCAACTGTGCAGCCTCCATGGTAGTGGGAGTAGGTCCTCACATTCTTTTTGCAGAATTGTCTCCGCTCATCGGTGCTATTCATCAAGTTATTTTGATGTTTAACACCAAGGAAAAAGGCAACTGATTGAGACTTTGCTACTCGTTCTAGCAAACGTACCATATCTGCACAGGCCTCCAAGTCCCTTTCGTCTGCTAGATAGTTGAACTTCACTGAAGGGTTTCGCCTAGGGTCGGTACTGTTTAATTTAAGTTCACCTTCTGATACTGGAAATGCAATCTTGGCAGATATTCGCGTTCTTGTTACATTGAAGCTAGTAGGTACAATTCCTCCTTCAATTATGAATTTGAAATGTTTTGCAATCCCTGCAACTTGAGGGGACTCTGGTTGCCGATATTGTGGATCTGTGTCTAGGAAAACTGCAATGCTAGGATTATCTATCATTCTTTTTCCAACTCCCTTCAAGCTTAGCACATGTGAGATGTTGAAGTTCGTGAGGTGTTTAAGGGGTCCAATGCCACTTAACAATAGGATTTGGGGGCTACCTAACGCCCCGGCTGACAAAATCACGTCACCACAAGAAGTATAATTCTTGGGTTGATTGAGATAGGCTTCATATGTTTGATCTGTGCTGCCGTCACTCTTTATGAACCGTATGCCATGGACTGTTGTCTCATTAGCATTGCCTGCACATTTTTAAAACAGTCAGATAAGCGTCAATAATTTCATTTCGCATTTAGAACATTTCTGAGAAGTCATTAGATGGAAGGTAGTGATAGCACTATATTCATGTTGAAGACCTATTTTCATATAACTTTTCCTTACCATTGCTATGGAAGATGATGTTTTTCACTGTTGCATTCAAAAGAACTACAATATTTTTGGGATTTGCTGCCTTGAGAAGATTAGCTGAGGTGTGTCTTATGCCCCATATATCAAATATACTTCCACTAATCTTTGTTCCCTCGATGTGTTCTAAACTAAAGCCATTATAAGGTAGAATTCCAGCTTCAAGAAGGCCAAATTCAAGAGCAGTCTGCCATGGTGTCAATTCAGGTGTGGACACTATTTTAGATTCTACCCATGTATAAGAATCCTTAACCAACTCATTATCCCAGCCAGCCTTGTTGACAAAATCCTCACTAGCTCGACTGTAAAACCCCGCGTTTATAGCCGAAGATCCACCAAGTACTCTTCCTCTGTAATTGCTAACACCATCTGTGGATGTGAAGTCTTGTGCAACTGATGTAAATTCATCAGTCTGAATCAGTGAGAAACCATAAAGTCTTTTATCCAACACCAAGGGATTGCCATAAGGTGATCCGCCTCGTTCTACCAATAGTACTGAGAATTTCTCAGACAGGGTTGCTGCCAGGGGGCAGCCGGCAGTGCCTCCTCCTACAACAATGTAATCAAAGGATTTACCTGCGACTTCTTTCACATCTGAGGTCATGTAAGGAAGCTCTCCTACAATGAAGAAGGTTGATAATATTGTTACAATCAATGTTTAAGGATTCCAAATAGAAATTCTGCTAATAAAAGAAACACCCTTTTGGGCATTGGCATACCTTGAGGATGTGAGAGAGAGCACACAGACAAGTTAATAAGCAAGAAGATAATTACTTTGAGAAGCTTGTCATGGCGAATAGTTTTTTGGAACTTTAAGCTTGGTGCTTCCATTTCTTAGCTCTGGCGTAAGCAGGGACGGTGGACAAGTTATCTTAAATCTGTGTGGGCATCATAATTACTTGGAGAAGAAGGATTCGTATTTGGATATCCTCTTTATCTCATATATGATGTGCGCAGTTGAAGACGTGGACAATTTATAGATAGAGAGTGATTATGAAATGACTTGTTGATAGGACAAACGTCAAGGATAGCAGGCGAGCGGCTTTGACGGACGAGCAGGTAGAATGTCGACCACAGTGGGACCACGGTGGCCTGGTGATGTGGAAGTCGGATATATCCTTAACGAGCTTGACGATCAGCCTTGTTGACTCGAGTATCAAGGTATAACAATTTGAGTCTCTCAGGCCAATCGGCATAATTTGATTGAAGTTGTTTAGCACTATGAACATGGTTTTTCTAATGCTTCACTCGTGTTTTATTGGAAACTTAGAAAATGATTTTGCAGCTGTGATGGTTTCTGTTCCTTCAAGTTTTATTCAGGCATTTGCCTTTTCCCTTCCAATACGGAAGACAAGCAAAAGGCAACGATAACCCTGCAACTAGAAAGCGTCAACAAGCACACAGATGCAGATTAAAATGTAACCATAGACCTCGGTGATTGACTTGATCACCAGAAATTTGAGTTTTCGAACCAACTTAAACGAAGCATTATAGGGAAGTTTGCTAGTAGCATCTGTCATTTTTCCAAGTTACAAAGAAAGAGAATAAAGGAAGACTTGTTTCTGCAAAATATACATAGGAATAGCTAGAAAATTTTAGATAATTTTTTATTGGATAACAAAACCAATTTTGTAATGAGAACCCTTTGTTCAGCTAGAAAAATCAGAGCCGTTTTCTTTGACTGTCATGAACAGTACCACCAGCGTGAATGGTACTGTCGCCTCGTGTAAGGAAACTTGCTACAATGAAATGCAAAAAATTTTGCTTATGCATAGGCCGCGGATGGCAGAAGCAAATTGTGCCAAAAACCAGGCCAAGTGCCGTTAGTTGGTGCCCTTTGGTACCTTTAGGTGCCAATGAGAGCCATGAAGTGCCTAAAGAATGTGTGCTGATGCAGGTACCGTTATTTCGCTTACAAGTCCCTAGGCTTTTACAGAGTGCTTCGGGTTGGAGTGTATAACTCTCAAGTAGAGTGTTTGTGAGGCTTTTGGTGAGTGTTTTTATATTGAACACTTTGTATCTTCGTGTGATATCTCAACCCAAATGATAATTGAATTAGACTATTATTAAAGTCTATTAAGTGAATTAAGAGATTAATTAGTAAAAAAAAAATGATTGAAGTATTATATGAAAAAAATCTACTCATTATGAAACAGAAAGAAAATAAGAGTTCTTCTTCCTCATTTTTTTAGAGTTAGAGAGTAAAAAAAATCAAGGTGGAGATTCAGAATCAGAGACTATAACCAAGTTAATCACCTAAATGTGAGTATCTATCTTTTTTTTATTTAAGAAGAAATATCAAGTTAATTGCTATTATTTGGAGTTAAAGTTTTGAGAGCAAAACCAAAAAAAATTATGAAATCTTTTATTAATCTTCATGATCTATTTGGGTAAATCATTGGGCCTTGTTTATTTTATGTTCTTAAAATTTATTGATGATTATTGAATGGAGTTTAAAGACTGAAAGTAGGAATTTGAGTTTTTTTAAAGATTGAAGGAAAAATTTTATTTTTGGATGCGATGTTATGATCTGTAATAATGAATTAAAATATGATTCTATATTAATGGATGAATTATTGCTATGATTATTATATATCGTTGGAAAGCATATTGAATCTACTTTCTAATGAAATAAACGGAAATCGAATCCAAGTTTTCTAGTAAGAGTTGTCTAATTTTTACTTAAGGATATGCATGTTATATGTTAGCATAATCAGAGTTAAATTACAAAAATGATCTTAAATTTTATACAGGGAATTAAGAATTGAGCCATACATATTTGAAAACATTATTAAGTCTACTTTCTAATATAACAAGTAGGATTGAATTTAGAGTTTTCTATGAATAAATACGTAATTTTTATGAAAAGGTATACACACTGTCTGATAATAATATATGACGTGGATTGTAAAAATTGTTATAATTAATCTATAAGGAATCACGAGATGGGTCATATATAGTTAAAAAATTTATCAAATCTATTTTCTAATGCATTAAAGAGATCTTAATTTTAAATTAGATATCTTGAGATATGGTCGTTTTAGTGAAAGGAGCTCATGCTGCCATTGAGTTAACCCTTGTATAACTTAGTTGATTTTTGTATAAATGATCTAAAAAAAATTGATTAAATTCTGATGCGTTGAAATAATCTTGAATAGGTCATTAATTATTTTGAAAGAAAAATTAAGTGGTGAAATTGAAATGAGGTAAGTAAAATCTCACATACTTTGTTTGTTTTCGAATCTATGTATATATATATATATGTTTCTAAATGAGTAAATTTTTTTTTTATTTTTGATATATAAAAATAAGATAAAGCATATGATTATTTTGTGTTTTACTATATAAATGATCGATTATGCTTATAAATGAAATGAGAAAATGATTTATGCTTAATGAACGATTTTATGATAGCTAAGTTTTTACATCCCTGAAAGTTAGATCATTGACACCAGAAATAGTTCTACGATCCTGGCTAACTAGTAATAGTAGTTAGCAAAGACATGATCATACGACCCTACTATTGGGTAATAGTAGTTAGCGTAAAGCCATGGCTAGCAAGTTATAATAATTAGCAATGATTATAACGATAAAATTATCAATACGATCAATATTACGGATTATAGCAGTGACCGTAGTTAATGATAAATGAATGATAATGATGATTTATGATGATTTTAAACATTGATCTATGATTTGTATGAAATATATATTTGATCGTCATTTATGGTTATAATTGATGAATTGACATGTTTTTATATTGATTTATGAATTTACGAAATGTTCGATAGAAAGATGATCTTTGAAATATTTTGACATTATGAATTGATGAATATTTTGAATGATCTATATGATATGTATGAAAACGATACTTGATCTTATAAGGTGTGTGAGCCTATACTTACTGAGCTGTGATTTGCTCGTTCTTTTTACTTTTTTTTTACGGATGAGTAAGTGATAAGTTGCTTAATTTTGTGAAAAGTTAGAAGATCAAATGAGAAAAATTACTTAGTCGTCGGAGACAATGTTGACCAGTGAGATCTTATGAAACAGTTTTATATTTTATATAGTTTGTATTTAAATATATAGAGATATATCAATAATTGAATTAAATATATAAATTTTACTAAATAAATTATATCAATTTATTAAAAAATTTTAAAATAATTAAAAAAAATTTCGTATTATTTTAAAATTTTATTTCGTTTTGGTTTAGGCACGTGACACTTCATCCATTTGTGATAGTGAAAATTTTTCGTCAACTTCGCCGGTAGATGTGGGCTTTATATCAAATCACGTAAATTTTAGTGCTTTTTCTTACGTTGCGTATGATTTTGTGGTGAATTTATGTGTTGTCATATCTTTTCGCTGCGGATTTGGTAACACGGTTATATCACCACATAGTGTTATTACCATTAAGCTAATTTGCCCAACACGATGGTATCAGCGTTTCTGTTGCATCTAACAAACCCGTATCAAGCAGTAGTGAATCCACGATTTTTTTTCAGAGTGTCCACTTATAATATATAATGCTCTCCGATTTATCAATTTTATAGATGGAAATGATGATTTTGAGGCGTTTGGGAAAATTTTTCCTTCAAATTTCTTGTTTTTCACTTTTTGAGGTGTTCAAGAAAAAATTTTAAGAATGTCCAAAGGAAATTTTTTCTTAAAATTTTCTTGTTTTTCATTCTTTAGGGGTGTCCGTGGACACCCTAGGTGTTCATTTGGATCCACCCCTGATATCAAGCTTCTACAATGCTATCAAACCAGTATCAGAGCTTGGTTCATTCAGAAACTAAGCTCGGCGCAATACCTAACAATTGGCACGAGTTCTGTCATTAATCCTATCAAATCGATCTCAAAGCTCCCTCGATCCTAACAATACCTTCTTTTGATATCGATATTCTTTGAAAAGTTCTTGGAATTCAATACATATGACAATATACATAGTTTATGAACAAAAGATTTGGTTCTAAATAATCAAGTTCGCTGCTTGTACTATATTACTAACAACCAAGCGGCATAGAAGTTCCAAACCAGGCCCATTGAGCTGATCTATTCCCTGCAGTTCAAGTCAATTGCTTTTGGACCTGATTCAACGTCATTGTGGCATTGACTGTTGAGATCAAATGACCCCAACAATCCAGACTTTCTCAAACGACTACCAGTTGCCTCGTCAGGAAACTCTAATCTTTTAGCTAGTGGTTGCTCAACACGTATACCATCAGAACCGTTACTCCCACTTCTTTTCTTTCCATTAGCTTGATTGCTTGAGCGACTAATCAAAGGCTTGTTTTCTGGGTGAACGTCCATTAAGGAAAGTTCTACAGAAGTATTAGACTTCCGTGTACAAATATTCTCATATTTTGGTGGCTCCTTGTCCTTTAGCCCAGAACTCTCGGAAGATGTCAATGAGCTCTCCATGGAACATATAGTACCCCTCATTGGCTTTGTCTCAATTTCTTTTGAGCTTGAACCTCCTACTTCTGTCAATTCTGACAATGAAGAACTCGCGGAGCCGGTGTTAACCATTGAGACTAGTTGATAGAGTTCAGCTTTAGCAAGTTCAACACCAACAGAAGAGGAGCTATACCCAGTCAGTGTTTCTTGTGCTTTCTTTAATACCGATTGCAAGTACTTTCCTTGAGCTTCAATTCTTAGCTGTAAACGTCTCTGGACCTGAAAATGGAAAAAATAGCCTGATTGATATGCATTGATGTATCAACTTAAAATCAGCTATTTAAATTGTGATCGGTTTAATAGGTCATACGTCAATCTGTTCATGAAGCTTTCTCTGTACTTCCATCTGCATTTGGAGAGCCTGAGAAATCTGCAAGCTTCTGATGAACACAATAATTAGACGGTCAATACAATCTGTTTTATCATCATTTCCATCCAAAAGTTATCAAAAGATATAGGATCCATGTATAACTATTACTCTTTCATCTGCTTGTGAGTTCCATCACTTGTGTCACTACTGAAATTCCCATTACTGCTCTGTGTCTCTCTGTAATCTGTATCACAAGAATGAAAAGGAAAGAGAAAAAAGATTTTATGACTGTAAAACTGAATATAAGAATTCAAATGCAGCAAGCAATGAATTGTTAATCTCACCATCTAGTTTATTGCTTAGGCAGATTTCTGTCTGTTGGCTTTTTCCAAGCCTGTATTTCTGCAAGAAGAAGATACAGTTAAAGCTTGTTTTCTTTCCTATTTGGTTATAGAAAAGAAAATTGATAGTATGAGCATGTAATGAAGACTAATTGCCTGTAAATGGCTTTTAAGATGATACAAAGTGAGTCCAGAAATTCCCATGACCCTCATCAGAGTCTTTGGTGTTGCTTCTGTCCAAAAAAAGAAACACAAAGAAACCTGAATAAATTATGCATATACTAATAACAATATGATTAGAGAAGATGATGATTATTATGGTTATCTAAAATGTACTTAACTGTCTGCGCCTCCAAGTTGATTGACCGCTTCAATAAATCTTTGATGAAGTTCAGAAGTCCACTTTAGCCTAGGCTTTGCATCAGTTGACAGAACCAAGTTCATGTTTTGATTTTGCAAATTTTGCAGGCCCATGTTTTTTGTGATGTGTAAGAGAGAGAGGCAGATGTGGCAGAAAACTGAAACACATATGTGGATTTTGATCCCTTTCTAGTAGCTATATGCTTTCAATATGCCGCAGCTATAGTTCTCTTTATAATTTTGGAGTGGCTGGGCTGTCCTATGATCTCTCTCCATATCTGGAAACATAGGTGGGGTTGTGTTGGGGAGGGAATAGATGCCATGAGCTGTGGCTCTTCCTTTCTCTCATCTCCCATTTCATACTAACTTTTCTTTTTTTTTTTTTTTCAATTTTTCTTTCTTCTTTGACTTAAAAAGAGGGGGTGGATAGAGAGAATCTCTGGTGCTGCAAAAACAGAGAAAGCAACACAGTTCAATTTGAGTCTCAAAAGGAGAGGAAAGAGGAAAAGTGCAAGGTTTGTTTTTATCTTGCTGTTTTCCCATGCCTCTGTCCCTTTCTTCTTCACACACAACATTTTTTTTTCTCTCCCTGCTTGATTCCCTTGCTCAGTCAGGTAGCCCCACCATGATGAATAATGGATGCAACTTTCCTGACACTTGAAGGAAAAATAAAGAGAGAGAAATCAAATTGACAGGAAGGCTATAATGGATGCTTATTTCCTTTTAACGACTGAAAGGGAAAACCAATTGGCATTGGCTCTTTCTTTCTTTTAATTTCTCTTTCTCCTTTTTTTTTCCTTTGTTTTTACATTTTCTTGTTTTGTGGAGGGTATGGAGTGACTGGCAGATTCTTTTTGTTCTTTGTATGGATGAAAGAATCAAAGAATCTAATATTAGATTGTTGGACCCACCTGACCCTGTTTTTCTTGTGATGAAAGTACTCTATAAAAAGTGAATCAAATCAGGCCATCTTATAACAGAACACAAACTGAGGTGTGAAAATAACCCCATTCAATAAATTTCTTCCCTGGAAATTGAACCAAAAGTAGACACAATAAGATTATCCCATTACAGGAGAATCTCTTGTCCTTGGTTTTTTGTTCAGATTGTCATTAGGGCCCGACAGCTTGACATACGACTCCATTTGCAACTTGAGTTTTACCTTATCAAACATCTACCAATACCTTCCGAGTGGCATCTGAAGTAAAATTCAATACATCAGATCAGGTGTAGGCCAGGCACACAGGAATAATAACCTCTTGACAAAATCTTTTGGGTCAGTAGTTTTCTATATACTGCATATTGATTTGTTTAATCCCAATCTTTGAACCTTGCCAAAAAGTTTTTGCAGCGTTTCTCCCTTGATAATCAGGCTCAAACAAAAAGTGGGAAAAGGCTTATTCAAGTGGGAAATGTCACCTAAACCCTAAACCTACAAAATTTAGACACGAATTCGATCATTATTACACATTGCTAAACTTGAATCAGAGTATCCTGAAGTGGTGGTACAAAGAAATAGAACTAACGTCCCATGGCACATGTCAAACAAGACAATGAAATCAAACCCTCCCTTTTTTTATCTTTTTGGCAAATGTAAATACAACGAAATGAAAAAAAGCTCCACATAGTCAATTGATTTACGCTTTCTCCTAGTATGAAAGCAATCAACAGGACTCATTCTGCTAAAAGTCCTATAAAGAAACATATTCCAAAGAGAATGTTAGCTTTAAATCTGTTAGCCATATCCAAGAAGACCTGAAGGAACATAAATTTCATACAAAAGACGGGCAGACAGAAAGAAAGAAAGAAAAAAAAAAAAAAAAGAAGGAAAGGTAAAGGGAAGCCACAATGGCCAAGAACAAATCATAAAAAGTCAATTGAATCAGATTAATCTTCTTCAGGTTTCTTGGTCTGCGGTCAAGAGTTAAATTACTGGAATCAAAACTCAATGATTGAACTCCAAAGTATTGCCATCTCAGGGTCACATATTCAGTTGGTCTGCTAAATTGATAAGCCATTTTCCAGGATTCAAAGGTAAGGAAGATTAGATGCTTAGTGTTATTTTATTCAGGCAACCAAAAAAGCAATAGGCTGCCTAAATTAATTAAAGAAGTAGAAGATATGTCCAAGGTTTCCTCTATGATTGCTTAAATACATGCCTTTATCAATGAAAGATCCCAAGCAGTTGACTCACTACAATTTTATAAACAGTTCGTTTGATACAATTGATCAGTGAGCATAGAGTGGAAGTTCCACTGATCCGATTGTTACAATCATCATTCTGTTCTGCAAAAAATTAACAATGAGATAAACATGGCGGACCAACAATTGGTGGGTCCATCTAAGCATCAGCTTCTTCTCACCTTGAACTACAATTCCTCATTGGCAAGCTCATAGTTGATATTCGAAGAAAGGAATAAAATTATCGACAAGTTTGTGTAATATGTGGGCCGAATGTTTGAAAAACAAGAAAAGAAGAAGAGTTATTGAAGTTACCTTTCTCTTTAACCAGCTGCTGTACTTGAACCTCCTTTCTTGCTTTAATATATTCCATAGCAGGTAAAGGAGATTCTGGGATGATGCCAACCCTGGCCCCTTATTTTTAGATCAGTAGCAGAAGGTCCAGTGTATCAAAAGTCATACAAACAAAGGTGCCTCATCAATTATTATTCTTTAAGGGACCCATTTTGAGAGATCTCATAAACCCGAAAGCATGGAAGAAGATGAGAAGAATATGGCCTCAGGAATCTAGAAAAGATAATCAAAAGGAACTAGTCGCCATCTAACTAAGCATAGTCACGGAGCTGAAAATAACGTTAGCAATATGTCACAAATCAAATTTATTTCTTCATATCATCTGCGGGATGACTGATTGTAGCCTTTTACGATAAGAAAATAACAAGAATGAAACATCACATGGCCAAATAACAGTTGAATACAAAGATTTAATCTGCGGTCGCAGCCGTATTTTTTATCGCATGGGAATATAACGGATAAAATAATGATGGTCGTATTCATTGCAGTCGTAAATTTTTTTTTAATTTTAAACAATTTATCATGAAATGAAATAAATAATAATTATAAACATAATTATTATAGTTAAAGTAATTTATAATATTTTAATTCTTTAATTTATATATTAAAATAAATATTTTACATTTTTTAGTTTTGAGTCATAAATCAATATACATATTTAAAATGTTGATCAATAATATATCCATGAATTTTGTCTATATAAATGCTATAAATACGTATGATTGATGATAAATTATCATTATGAAATTAATATTATAAATTAATTTAATTAAAAAGAATAATAATGAACATTTAAATATTTTTAAGTATAATTATTAAGGTAAATGAATTAAAATATAATTTTGTGGTAGAGATACATGTAAAAACACTTGTGCATATCATCTCTCATTTTCTTTCAAATTTTTTTTTCTAAAATTTAAAATATTGAAAACGTTCTCTCAAACTTAATTCCCATTATTTACTTTTGTTCTAAAACTTCTTATCTAAAAATATTAGCTATAAAAAAAATTAATAATAAATATACTTAATAAAATTAAATTTTTTTTATAAAATTATTTTTTAGATAATTAAAAATTAAATTTACTATTTAGCAACTAACAACTCTGTTAAATTTTTATCCAAATCATAAAAAAAATTTCAAATACTCATTTCCCAAAAAGTAAAAGAAAGCGAAGACCAAAATAAAAAATAAATTTCAATTTATATACAGTATCAACTTCCTTCTTATTTTTTCCTCTCTATTCACTTTGCTTTTCATTCGAAAACAAAGTCACCCACAACCTTATCCAACCTTCTTCTTCTCTTTCCATCAAGCAATTTCAACTCTCTCTTTTTCATTGGATTGATTTGAGAGCTCATTGCAATTGCTTTATAGGATCACACATTTTTTAAGTCGCTAAACTCAAGGATCCCATAAGACAGCACGGTTCTTAAGTTGCTAAACCCAAAGATCCCGTAAGACAGCAAAATAGGTTTAGCAGTTTGAAGGTTGGTTTCCTTATTGGAGCTCTATCTTTATATTGTCTTTGTTTTGATTATTTTGATTGAAGTTTAAATTTGATTAAATGATTTAGATTTGGGACATGATTTTTTTTATTGTTTTGAAATGTGTATTCTTTTTATTTGATGAAACAAAAATGTAAATAGCAGTTTTAATATCCTGTTACAATATTTTTTTTTGTTATGTCGTTATTTACGGCTGCAAACAACCCTTATAGGTGTGATGCCAATCACACCCCCATCGCAGGTGAATGACGAAAGTAGTAGGTGACGTTACCGTTAAATATCAACCGTTATATCGTGTTACGGGCGCTATTTAAAACCTTCATGTTTCTCCAACATATCACAATCAGTAAACAGCATCAATAAAGTACAGGGATAAAAAATATACAAAGACAAGCACACACAGTTACACATTTTTACTGATAATGACCTGCCACTGTAAGTACTGTTGCACCCTTCCGAGCTGGATTTCTTGTTTTGATTCATGTAGCTATCTCATCTCCACAACTATGAAAGCCCTGTTGATGCTTAAATAATGTCTTTGTTGTTTTACAAGGGTCACCAAGACAGTAAATCTGGAAATTCCCTCACTAAATGAAGCCCAATTTCTAGAATCTAAGGCACATCTTTGTCCAGACTCCACAACATGATTGATAGAGACAAAGTAAAATCATGTAGAAATATTCCTCCTTCAAATAATTCAAGCGAGTCATTTCTGATGAAATGATACACCCAACATTGAGCGCCCACTTGGTTGACATGACTTAGCCAGTGCATAGCTTGCTCAACAATATGGAATGGGGAAACCACAGGATGACACAAGTGCTTCACAAAACTACACTGGTTGCCTATAAACAAAAGCAGTAATCCCAAAGAAAAAAGGTTGCTTGATTGACTTAAGTAAAGGTCACTGCATAAACAGATCCAAAGAGCAATATAATTCCCTCTGATAGGTCAGATTTCACCCCCACTCTTGTTTCCTATTAGGAAATTGCCCCTCCTTAAGTAAAATTAGTGGGATGATGATGGTGTTCGACGACAAAAATGGTTCTTTACTGATCCATGGAAAGAGGGAGCATATTTCTCAAGGCAAACAAGGTAACTCAAGAGGTTAAGATTAGAGGCTATACAGAGACTCAGCAACTCAAAACTAGCAGTAAAAACAGATCACCAACATAACGTATTTTCCTATTGATTCTGTAGCTTCATGACTTGTAATAGTTGTTGTTCTTATTTGTTCTTCTTCATAATTTTCTTGGCAACCGGAAGGAACATAAGCAAACAAAGTCATCAATTGGATTTTCCAAACAAAGTTTTACATAGACAAGCCCACATTATCAGGGCAATGATTTGACAGTTGGGTTTCCCACAACAAGGTATGGTATGCCTTGGACTCCCATGGGCAAAAGACAAACCTAGAAACAACTCCAGATGGCTCATCATAAAAGAGCCCAACAACGATGTACCCTGCAAGAGATTTCCATGGCTTTTTATCTGATTATTTTTCCAGAATTGAGCCTTTCTTCTGGCCCTATCACTCATAAACGTTGTAGCATTTAAAATAGAAAAATAGACTTCTATACGATATTTTTATAATTTTATTAATTTGATTTTTATGCAATCA